GTCATTATAGCTTTGCTATTAGATAACGTGCATCATGATAAATTGTGTGTCAACTACCATGCATCACATAGGGATTGTCAACCACATCAAATGGTGCTATTAGCCACAGCAAATGCTCTCTGAACCATGAGTCACAATGGACATGTTTTTGGCCATGGCAAATGGTCTCTTTTATTCAAGAATGACTCTTTTGACCTTGTTTCAATGTTTTTCAATCCTAAATCTTTTCCATGCTTCTCAAGCATGTTTTACACTAATTCTTGAGGATTAAATTATTTTCAAATCTTAGTTTTGATCTTTTAAATGATTTTTTTATTCCAATTACTAATATTTCTACACTTAGCTAATTCGGAGTTTACTCAGCCAAGGTTGATCTAAAAAATATGAATTTCAATATCAATACCAGATGGGAAAGTCAGATGAAAATGAATGGACAAAGGGTAGGAAATGAAAAAAAAAATATGGGCAAACTAGGAAGGATCCACTCTTCAAAATCTCCCTATTTTGAGTCCCAGGCATTTTTTTTTTGTCTCATTTTTCTTTCCTTAACCCATATCTATGTGAGATTCAACAAAGTTTTACATTACCTGTCGAGGGCCTAACACAAGCATCATCTAGACTTAGGACTGGCTATAAACATAGGTGAAGTTAAAAGGAGGTACAACATGAGAACTTCCTAAAAGGTTACCTATCGAAAGAAGAAATATCTTTTTTCTTTTCATTTTCTCCTCAAGACATACTAGAAGCAAACTTTTTTCTCCCTCAAGACTTACCTTTTTCATGAGCTAACTTATCCAGTGGAAGAAGAAATAATTATAAAAAAGGAAAAGACAAAACACCATTCTCAAAATATCAAAGAAGAATTTATTAATAGTTAAGCACAACCTTTGACCAATTATTATAGTGTAGGGCAATTAGACTTTGGTGGAACTCAGTGCCAAGAGGAGAAAACTTAAGTGTAATTAAGTTTTCTTTTTTAGATTTTAGATTATGTTTAGTTTAATTTATTTCACAAAGTTTAATTGGAGGAAAAAAAATTAGTTCTTTTTTTTTTATTGAGCGCTGGTGTAATCCAATTTGGAGCAAAGCCTGACACTAAATGCAAGCATCTCTCCTAATGGGTATTGAATTTTGGTTTGTCACATTATAAGAGACTACTAGCTCCTTTCAGTATACCTAAACCCATTGGTAAATTTAAAGTGTTTTTAATACAACACATTGCTTTCTAATAAAATTGGTAACTTATTCATAATTTACAAATTTTTAATAATAATCCGCTATGTATAATGCTAAATGATTCTTATTCGAATGGTATTGAATTCCAAATGAAGCATCAATACCTTATTTAAAATATTAAATTCCTTCCGTTCCTGTTTTAGGATAACTTGTCACTTTCTATTCATATGATAAAGACATTAACGTTTTTCTTGGTATAAAGACACAATACATTAATTTATTTTAAACTGCAGAAGATTCCCATATATTTAAAATCTTTACTTAACAATATATACTCCCTCCATTCAAAAATATAAGGTATTTTTTGAGAAGTTGGATGTTAAAAAATATAAAGTATTTTTAATTTTTTAAGATGTAATAGTTGTCTTTTTTTTACAAGTGTCCCTATTAATGAATAATTTTATATTTATTATAGTATGTTTAATAGAAATAAATATAAAAAGATAGGTTTAATTTGAAAATATGTAACTACTTTATTGAGGGGTGAGATTTAATTAAAAATGTCTTATATTTTTAAATGAAAAGAGTATATATATAATAAACTCTAATAAGTATTGAAAGCTTGATTGGTTATTAGAATGAAGTGGAAAAGAAAGGAAAGAAATGGATTGATAGTTAACAAAATAAATTAAAATAAGGTTCTATATTGATAGAGAGATTAAATTTTTGGAAATGTAAGAGTCTTGGAGTGATATTAAAGGTGATGATGAGAATTGATGGCTTTATTCACGGCAATCCCCATCCTCACCCTTTATCATCCTATAATTTTAATTTTTTCTATTGTCTTCATCCCTCTATCATTTCACAAATTTATCTCAGGTAGTATTTGGATTGGTAGACTTAAATTTTAATTTTAAACTTAAAATCTTGCATTTCAAATCTCACATTGGGAATTCATTTATTTAAAATTATTTATTTGGGTAGTTTAAAAAAATTCAAATGAACAAGAGAGATGACTTGAACTTCAAAATGAAAAGAAAAAATTAAAAATAATGAGTTTATACCTATATTTTTCAATCAACAAGAGGTAAGAAAATATATGAAAGTCATAGAAATATTAATAGTAAACATACAAAGAAAATGAAGTTATTGAAATTTCAAATGATAAAGATATGGAAAAGATTTAAAATTATAAAGGAAATGTAATAATTCAAATCTAAATCTATAAATTTTTTTATATCCAAATGAGGAATTTAATCCAAATCCAAATCCCTATTAATCCAAACACACTATTCATTTATTTTGTTCTCTATAAATTATTCCATTCCTCCCCAATAAACAAGAGAGCCCCAAGTGCTATAGTAATTCGTGAATAATAGATATTGCAATTATTTTTGGAAAAATTACGTATAGGTTTCATGAAAAAGAGAAAAAAATTATATATAGATTCAATGGAATATATTTATTTATCAATAAATCATATGAAACTTAGAAACCACAGCCAGGTCCCTTAGGACCTGAGTGTAATTTGACATTGCAAAGATAATAATACTCTTATTAAATATATATTATATCAATCAAATAATTAATTTACAACTACTTCATCAAAAATTTAGACTTATAATTTTAACTTTTTATAACTATAACTTCATATATCCAATAATTAAACAATCATATATTACTAATAAAGTTTAATAGTAATTGTTTACAACTACTTTATTAGTTGTTTATAACTATAACTTCATATTTTTACAACTATAACTTAATATATTTAATAGTTAAACTAATCAATTTAATTATAGAATGTACAAAGTTAAAGTTGTAAAAAATTAAATTTATAATTATAAATTTATTATGAAGTAGTTATAAATTATTCGACTGATATAATATATATATATATATATGTTTAATAAGAGCATTATTATCTTTTTATCAAAATTTTAAATTACACTCAGGTCCCAAGGATCTAATTATGATTTTTAAATTTTGTGAGACTTATTTGTAAGTAAGTTTGCTCCACATGACCTATATATAATTTTTTCTAAGACTTATTGGCAAATAAGTCTCACAAAATTTAAAAATTATAGCTAAGTCTCTTAGCAGGTGCAAAGATAATACTGCCCTTGTTAAAAGCATCAATTTTTTTGTCAGTAAAAACATTATATTATATATGAAAAAAAGGTTACATTTGTATTTATAAAATATGAAATATGACTTATAAATTAAGAATTTTTACTTATAATTTGTGAAGTTATAGTTACAAGTGAAACATAAATATAACTTCAATCTATTATTTATAAAACACAGAATAATACTTGTGAATTAAGAATTTTTTACTTGTAAATTATGAAGTTGCAGTTCTAAGTAAATGGTAAATATGACTTCAGTCTATTATTTATAAAATGTAAAATATTAAAATTTTTTATTTGTAAATTATGAAATTGCAGTTGTAAATGAAGGGCAAATATAACTTCAATATATTATTTATAAAACATAAAATATGACTTGTGAATTAAAATTTTCTACATGTAAATTGTGAATTTGTAATTGTAAGTGAAAGATACATATGAAATTAGTTTATTATTTATGAAAATGAAATATGACTTGTGAATTAAAATTTTTTACTACTTTAAATTGTGAAATTGCCATTTTAAGTTAAGGGTAAATATGACTTTTTGGTGTTTTTTTTTTTCATTTTAGTGAGTAGGGGTATAAAGGTTTTTTCATATATTTTTTCAAGTCCTAAGTGATTAGGCTATATTTTTTCAAATTTGTGGGATCATATTTGTTATTATTAATTATATGCAAAGTGATATATAAATCACATTTTAAAAAGAATTATTGATCTTTTTTATAAGTCACTTTGCATATAGTTAAGAAAGATTATTAATTATTTTCTTCCAATTTTACCCCTTCATTATGCATTTAATAAGGGTAAATTAGATTTTTTTTAGATAATATTAATAATTTAATTGCCTCTTCCTGATTCCAATAAAATAGTTAGATGAAATAACTTATATACTCCCTCCAATCTAATCTATGACATTTTCTAAAATCCCAGCTTAGTCCAACATATAAGCATTGGGTAGTGTTTATAGTTTTTTTTTTTTTCAAACCATACCCTAAGTTAATTTTCAACTATAAGCATTGGTTTAGTGAAAAAAAATTTATATTGGTTTATTGAAATTTCAATTGTTATTATTAAAATACTTATATAGACATTTAATGAGAATTTAATTAAAAAGATGTATAATGTTCTTAAAAAAAATTAAAATTTCAACTTAACTTTTTTTTTTTTAGAAACCGTAAAATAATTATTAAAACTTTATATTATGAGCAGGAAATACAGCCAAGGAGAGAGTACTACCAACTTCATGCTAAACGTGAGAGTTGAGACCATCATCTTACTCAAACCTGTGTTAGAGGCTTTATTAAATGAGACAGCAAAGGAGTCCATGACACGTGTCTTATACTATTGGCTGTCGCAAACCATTCACTGTGACAGCACTGTTACTCTAGCACTTCTCCACCATGCTTGAGAAGTGAGGCTTAAGGCTACTCATCACACACTAGTTGGCCAATAAAACACCTCTCCTCCCACTAAAACGGCAGCTTTTTTCCGTGTAAATCGTAGTCAGTTATGTATTCTAGTGAAAACGGGTTCACTTTCTTCTCATTCACACTCACACATTCATCTTTTTTGTTAATCTTGCCTTGTAAGTAAGACTAGTCACATAATTAGCAAGTTGCAGGAATGAGGGTCACATCCATCATTGCAGTGTTCAACTTCATCGTTATAAATAGGGTTCTGAGGCCTGTGATTTTTTCAAACAGTTCTGTAGAAAAATGGCTAGGATTAATTGTTTCATCTGCTCTGTTTTATTTCACTTTCTCTTGAGCTCTGTTTTCACCCAATCAGCGCCAGAAACTTCGCTTGTTACTCAGATTCCTGGCTTCAATGGCACTATACCTTCCAAGCACTACGCTGGGTACATTATATCTCTTTCTTCTTTTATTTCCATTTCTGTAATGGCTGTTCATGTTCTCACTTTATAAATTGTGTCTTTTATTTTTATTTTTTAAAATTTATAATTTGGTGCCTATTTACTGTTGGGTTTCTTCATGAGGAAGACTTGCCTTATGTATCAAGCTATTGAGTACACTAAATCCTTCTTTGCTTATATTCCCATCTCTGCAATGCATTGTAAGATTCTCATCTAAAAATTATGGTTTTGTTTTTTAAATATTGTTTGGTGTTTATTTCATGATTTGAATGTTGGTTTGGTTTTTTTTTTTAAAAAAAAAAATTAAACTAGACTTGAATTGTGTCTCCAGCTCTTGGGCACTTTAAATTCTTATTGCTGTCATTCCCATTTCTGCAGCGTGTAGTCAGATTTTCACGGTAGAAATTATGAGTTTTTTTTTTTCTTTTTATAAAATTTCTTGGTGCATATTTTATGATTTGGAATATGGGGCTTTGTACGAAAAGAAAACCTAGACCAAGTCTAATGCTCTAGATCTTTTTGCTTTATTCCCATTTCTGCAATGTCTGTTTTCAAGTTCTCTTTTTGATTTAAAAAAAAAAAAAAACGCCTTATGTCTGATTCTGTGGTTCTTGTAATGGAATGTTGAAGTTATGTGACGGTGGATGAAAGTCATGGAAGGAACCTGTATTACTATTTTGTTGTATCAGAAAACAAACCTTCTGAAGATCCTGTGGTTCTTTGGCTTAATGGTGGACCAGGCTGTTCTAGCTTTGATGGCTTCATATATGAGCATGGTAATCATTCGAGTTCAGTTTCAGAAATCTGTTTTTATCACTAAAATCTCATTTTGATCCTCCATATATGATGTAGCATCAATTGACTCCCTTTATGTTTATATCATATTGTCTTACATTGATTTGTGTTTCAGGCCCTTTCAATTTTGAAGCAGCAAAGACTGTGGGAAATCTTCCCACATTGCACCTCAATCCTTACAGCTGGTCGAAGGTACCAAGTCTGAACCTTTTATGATGTTTCAAATTCTGAAAAGAACATAGGTTTTTGGGCAAAAGATTTCATTTTAGTCTCAGGTTTCAATTTCATTCCTTAACTAAATTTTGCATATAAATTAATTTCTCTGCATTCCAGGTCTCCAACGTTTTATATTTGGATTCTCCAGCTGGTGTGGGTTTTTCTTACTCCAAGAATGAATCTGATTACAGAACTGGAGACAAAAAGACTGCCTCTGATACACATGCTTTTCTCCTTAAGGTGATTATGGAAAAATTTGGAAATCTTCATATAAATTGTCTGAATCAATAATCCTCTATTAATTTTCTGAGGTTGTTTAATCCAGTGGTTTGAACTTTTCCCGGAGTTCCTGCCCAACCCGTTTTTTGTCGCTGGCGAGTCATATGCTGGAATTTATGTGCCTACTCTTGCATACGAAATAGTGAAAGGTAATAGTTTATCCTTTGACTGCTGAAAAAAATTGTTAAAATACATTTGGATCAGAAATAAGGTGCAGTTTCTCAATGTTTTACAGGAATTGATGCTGGTGTGAAGCCCAATCTGAATTTCAAGGTCATTATCCTTAATTGATCAATATGCTTTCAAGCCTACGTGGCTGCAATCTGAGGTGATTTATGTGCAGGGCTATATGGTAGGAAATGGTGTTACAGATGAAGATTATGATGGCAACGCACTGGTTCCATTTGCTCATGGGATGGGCCTTATCTCAGATGATCTCTATGAGGTGAAAACTGAACCCTCAACAGTAGACAAAAGACGATCGCTTTGTGAATCGTTTCGAAATATATATATATATATATATATTAATTGAGCATGAATTGATATTTTGGTGAATAGTTGATAAAGAAGACGGCATCGATTACTGTTAAGCCAATGTCATGGTTGACTATCAGTTGTCATTGAGATGTGTCTTAACAAAGCTTCATGTCATTCAAAGTAGTTAAGAGTGTAATATACTCAAGTGTTCTTCCATGGCATGTCTTGAAGACAACTAGATGCCAATGGTTGCATTGACAATTTCAAATTTCTGTTAAATTTTCATGAGTTCATTTTCATATATTTTGAGCACATTTACATTCTGAGTTTACTAAGTTGATATAGCTATCTTGTTTCTCACATGATTTATATTATCAATGGGCCAGGAGGTTAGAGCTGAGTGCAATGGGAATTTCTACAATCCACTCGGTCAAGAATGTGCAGACAAGCTTGCAAAAGTTGATGAGGTGATTTATCTAATCATTCTTGTGTTTTCTTGAGCTTCACACTTATGTTTAATTTGGTGCATATACATTAAAAACTACATAGGCTAGATTATAAGTTTAGTGAAACTCGTACATGGTTATTATTAGATACTCACTGTTGTTTATTGTGATTACAGGATGTGTCTGGGTTAAACATATATGATATCCTAGAACCATGCTACCATGGCATTGATACAGAGAAAGACAAGGCATCGAAGATCAGGTTACCGACAAGTTTCTTGCAATTAGGTGCAACAGATAGACCCTTACCTGTGAGAAAAAGGATGTTTGGCCGTGCTTGGCCCCTTAGAGCACCTGTGAAAGATGGAATTGTACCAACTTGGCCTCAACTTAGCAATTCCAACAGTGTTCCATGCATAGTATGTTGCTTTGCTGATACTGAATATTGATCTTGTTTTTGATTTGGTCCTTTGAAATCAAGATTTTCAATTCCATCTTCCAATTTAGTTCATCTATTTGTTAAACTGGTGTGAATTCAACTGAGCTGTAGGCATAGCCTACCAAAATGCTAGTGCAGCCATTATGATTGCGCTTAGTACTCAGAAATGTTGCAGAGAACCTCTGAATTTGCTAGCTACACTCTGTTATCTTTTATTTTGTTAACATGAAAATTGTTGAGTATTGTCTTTTTGTGTTTTACTCTTACTTGTGTCATAGATTCATTATCTGATTTCTAGTATTCTCTTTTTAGAATGATGAGGTTGCAACGTCGTGGTTGAACGATAAAACAGTTAGGAAAGCACTTCACACTGCAGAGGTGAGATTTTTTTCCCGTCTAGGAAGCAGAGAAATTGACATAAAATATGTAGCATTTAAATCTAATTTGAAGTGTCACAATGCATCTGAAATGAGTGCTGCATGCTTAGAAAAAAAATTAATATGTGATCTTGTTTATTGAACAGGAAAGTGTAGTGAGTAGGTGGTTTCTATGTACCGACAATATTTTATACAACCATGATGCAGGGAGCATGATCAATTTTCACAAGAACCTTACTTCCAAAGGGTATAGAGCACTCATATACAGGTAGGTTTTCAAACTGATTTGTTTTTTTTTTTTTTTTTTGTTTTTTCACTGTGATTGAATTTTCTATGTTCATGATGCTGATAGTAAGTACTCATCTCAAGATGTCAATTTGCATATGAAAAGCTAACATCTTGCATTCTGAATGTATTTACTTGTACAATTTTTGTGCTAGTGCTTTCAATGGATATCAATGTATTTTGGGAAAGCCAGGCATATCTTTTGTTCATCTATAGCAGTAGACCTAAATTTTATGTTTTCATGGTTGTGGCAGTGGTGACCATGATATGTGTGTTCCATACACTGGAAGTGAAGCATGGACTAAATCACTTGGATACAAGATCGTTGATGAATGGAGGCCTTGGACATCCAACAATCAAGTTGCTGGGTATTTTTCATGTCATTTTTGTCATCGTTGAGTGAGAGTAAAACACAAGAAATCCCACGTCGAATAAAATAGGGATGAAAAAGGACCATATAAACTGTCTCAAGCGTCCCATTCCTCGTTGTCTTTTAGGATCCTCCAAGTCTCAACAATTTCTTATCCAAAATCTCAATGGAAACATTAAATTCAAGGGTCATTTTTCTTTATATGTTCCTTGGAGTAACAACCTTAAGAGCTAGTATCATGAGCATAACACACGTTAATAAAAAATCTAAAAACATTAGGTCTATTTGTCACAAAGCATGCATGACTTAATTTTCTTCATTAACCTAATTTTCTCCATTAATTGCAGGTACACTCAGGGATATGAAAAGAATCTAACTTTTCTGACAATAAAGGTTTGTTCACATACAGCTATTTTGAGAAACTAGATCTTTAGCCCTGTGTTTTATAAGGCTAAAATTTGAACTTTCATGGCTCTGAACAATATGGCTTTTAGTAGTTTATGTATATATATTGATGATGATCTTCAAGGTGGCTTTTTTCTTGGTACTTTCTGAATGAATGTATTGGTGCAGGGGGCTGGACACACTGTTCCAGAGTATAAACCAAGAGAGTCCCTAGATTTCTACAAGCGATTTTTGAAAGGTCTGGCTTTTTGAAAGAGGATGATGACTGACAAAGAATAAGAGTGCGGTCATACTGCTTTGGATTTTCTTTCTCTATACTTGCAAAATGTGAAGTTCAAAGCCCGTTTAGAAGATATGATATCCCTGTATTTGACATTTAGCTCCGTAATTTAATGCTTTGATAATAAATTTCTAAGTTAAATCAAAATTTTGAAAAAAAAAAAAAAAACTGATGTTATTTTTACTGTTACTTTTATCTATTGTTCCCTTATTAATTATTATTCTCAAAGTTTATGTCTGTAACTTGTGTATGTTATCTTGCCTAAAGGAAAATAAAAAATACCAACAACATAGTGTGGATTCTAAGTAAGTGGGTATGTACTCAAAATCGAATAAAACCATTTGACTATATCAAAACCAGCTAAATCCAACCAAGCAAAAAAAAAAAAAAAAGACTAGAAAATGATTTCCTTATGTCCTTGAATAAAAGGCCACGGAAATCATAAAAAGGAAGAATCAGCTCATTTCAAAGCATAAAAAGTTTTTACACCCTAAGGGTGGTTCCACAAAAATTGTAATAATTAGATCGGTGTTCGACATTTGATGAGCAAACTCATTCATGCATCTATTTCGTTCTCTAAAAATATGGTTGAAAATAACACTTTAATATTTCATGACCAATCCCCTTATTTTATTGATAATATTCAAGAGCAAAGGATCAAGGTGAAGTTGCATTGAATGAGAGTAACAATCTTGATTGAGTCATTGTTGACATTGACTTTAATGAGATTGTTAATCCAACAAAGGTTAAGAGCTTCTAAAATACCCATAACTTCAACAACAATGCTAGAATAATAACTTAGGCATCTAAAATCCAATTATCTTGATTATCACAAATGAGACCTCCACAAATGACAAAGCCGTTGATGTCTGCAGAGCTACTAATGTCCAATCTGAGTAGAAAATGATTTCCTCAAGTCCATTTGGTATTGGTATTATAGTATAAGAATTGATTTAGGTCATTTTAATTGATAAAATCACATTGAAAGACTATTTAAGAAAATTATTCATAAACAAAAACTAATACAAAATGGATTGTTATTAAAATGAAAATGTAACTTGTTTTTTCTTGAATGGGTTTGTTGTTAGTTTTCAATTGTGAATAATTTTTTTAAGTAGTCTTTGGATGTAATTCTCCTTAAGTCATTCAACACATCTTGTTTTGCTCAAAATGTTGGAGTAACTTAACACATGCCAAACATGTCAAAAACGTGTAAATCTCAATTCAACCAGACTCCTGTGATCTTTTATCCCAGTTCTCTTAAATTGCTGTTTACGTTATTACAGTGAATGGAAATTGTGGATCAATTAATTCTCAGCCTGACACATTTTTTGACTCAAGACATTTTTAGGCAAAACACACTCAAAATAGTTCATATTACTATTTTGGTTTCGATGGACACTTATATAAAGTATTATATCTATATACTCTCTATCTCACCCCTAATAAATTAGTTAATTATCTTTCAAATAATATTAACTTTTTATTTTTGCCTCTATTTAATAAGATATTTCACTTGAAAATAAATATAAAATGAATTATTTATTAAGGGCATTTTTTAAAAAGGAAAAACATTAATTATACCTTGAAATACTCAAAATATTTTATATTTTTGAATATTCAAACCCTAAAAAAATGCCTATTATTTTTTAATAGAGGGAGTACATCAATAGCATTAGAGAAGATAACATTTATAATAAATTATACTATATATAAATCATAAGCAATGCAACTAATTATATATATAATAATTATATTATATAGTAAGGGCAAATGTGTCTAATTCATATTTGTATGAAATAGGTATTAAGAAACTCTTTCCCTCTCTCTCTCTCTATATATATATGGAAAAATCTTATATACTTAATGTACTTGTTTTCAATCAAATTAAGGTATGTAAATTTTATATAGATTATTTATTATATGATAAATTTTTGTTATTAATTTTATTAACATATTAAAATTTACTTGTCATAATTTGATTGAATTGAATATATGTATATTAAGTATATAATGCTAAATATATAATTCTTACTATATATATATATATATCTGGTAGTAGAACCTTATTAATTCAAATGGGGATCTATGTATTAATTTTCTACAACATTTTGTTTGTGAGTAAAGTAGAGAAGGAGGGACATTAGAGCGGGATCTCTAAATTATGAATAGTCCACATGACATTGTTTCACAATGTGTAAGTGAAAAAATAAACAAAAAATTTGAGAGACACAGACATATCTATATATTTAATAAATTTATAAAAAATGATATTTTCTTTTTTCTTCTCTTAAGAGAACTATGCGATTTTTTTTTTTAGTTGCTTTGTTATCAACAGTTATCATTTAAGCAATTATGTTTAAGACACGATCGGACATTAAATATGAGTATTTCTTTTAATAGAGATTCAAATTTAATTTGTTATATTGTAAAAAATTAATTACTTTTACTGGACCAAATTTTTATAAGTTGAGTGGATATACTTTGTTAAAAACTTTGGAAGACTAAAAACAAATGCTAATGGCTCCTTCATAGGTGATGGAGTAGGGAGTAGGAACCCTTTGGGTTCGTCATTTGGATTTATACTTGTAAGCCTAATTTTCGTTTTGCCTATCTCTTCAGGCCAGCTTGTAAGCCTACATATATTTGCATATAAGGTCGGTCCTAAGTAGTGGATCACGCGGGCAAATGCCCCTAAAATGAAAAAAAAGATAAAATTGCATGGATACATATGCATTCTACCTAGAGTTGGAATAAAAGTCAGACCTGAAAATCTTATTTAAATAAAGCTTCAACTTTCAAAATTTAATTTTTTAAAATAATCAAATTTGAGAAGCTGGCTCTGATAAGCCCTGTGAAAAAAGACTCAAGCTCGGGCTGCCCTTCAAGCCCTGATAAATTGGATTATCTCATATATATATATAAACACATACATACATATATATGACTAATAATGACACAATTTGATTAATGTTTAATATAAGTGATGAAGAAAAACTTACAAAGATAATTGACATTAAATATTCATCTCTATCTTCAACAAGTGGATCAATATTTGAGGAATCTAATATTTTATTTTTAGATAATGATGAAGATGATTTAGATTTACATTAATGAAGATTTTAATTTTTATCTTAAATTTAAAATTTTAAATCTTTATTAAATTTTATGTGAGATTTTAACTTATTTTATATTAAATTTTAAAATATTTTATTTAAATTAAAATGTTAGATTTTTTTTGAGGAAAAAGGCTTAGAGACCTAACCTTGCGCTCTACAAATGAGGCCTGAACCTCAAAATTAAGTTAAATTTTCAATAACCAAGCTTTAGGGCTTGAGCCTTAAAGATCGGGCTCACCCTGATTTTCACCTCTAATTCTGCCACCACTCATATCTATTTTTTGAACTCAGTAAAATATGGCCCAAATCAAATTGTTGTTCGAACCTTGTACAGAATAGATTGCTTTTATTAGCTTAAGGTCTTAGATCCGCCACTACATATATAAATATAAATATAAAATTATAAATAAAAAACTATCATACGAATAAAAATGCAACACATATCTACTTGTGGAGGAAGTATTATTGAGAGTATTGTATAGACTTTTCTAAACTAAATTGCTATATATATATATATATATATAAGAGTTGGAATTCAAATGTTCAAATACTTACTCAAGTCACAAGAGTCTCCATTGCTCACCCTTAGTTTAGGCTGTTACTTAGCGTACTATTAATGCAGCTATACTTACTTTGTTTCGTTTTGTACTTTGCTTTCGTATTTCTTTGTTCTCTCGTCTTTGTTTAGTCGTTCATGGAGCTCGGTATGTTTTTCCAGTAGGTGCTGCTTTTATAAATACTTATGAGGAATGAAACTTTCTATTAAAAAAAAAAAATTGTAGTTCTGAAGATCTACAAATAATACCATTTAAAATTAATAAGCTAATTATGAAAATCTATTTTTATCTGTTTTAACAAGCTATTTCAAATAGCTTACTAAAATATTTTTTTTTCAGCACACCGTTGTAGTTTCAATAATTTTCTCAGGTTAAACTTTAACTTACTAATTAAAATCATTTTTTAATCTAAAACAAACTAGTCTTAATGTAGTCATTCGAATGATCTCTGTTATAAAATACCTTCTAGAACAAATTTTTAATCCTTAATACAAGGTATATGGATGGATACTCCCTTTGTCTACAATATAAGGTATTAGTAACTATTAAAGAATGTTAATTGAAACTTTAATTTTTTAATTATACTCTCATTAAATATCGTATATAAGTATCTTGATAATGGCAATTAAAATTTCAATTCCAATGCATCATTATTTCAAAAAATTAATGAATAAAATAGGGATATAGTTAAAAAAATAATTATAAAAATTATTTAATAACCTATATTTTGGACTAAGCAATATGCATTAAAAATGTCCTATATTATAGTGTAGAGAGAGTATTTGTTACCATTTTTTAAATTTTATTTCTATTATAAATTTAATTTTTTGCCCATCATATATCGTATATCTATTTTAATTTTTAATAGAAATAAAATTAAAAAATTACTTTATTTTTTTTAATAGAATACTAGTCGATGCAAGGTCGGGTATTAAATGTTAGAACTTTTTCCAACAAAAATTTAAATATTGGTTCTTTATATTATAAAGAATTAATCTCTTTTACTAAATTCAATTTCCATTGATAAAATTATTTTATTTTATTTTAAAATATATTTAATGAATTAACAGTAGTTTTTTTTTTACCAACAACTGTAGCTTAAAATAATTGAAAGCCAGGAATATGACTTTGTATGTCACCATTAGGTGGCTTCTTGTCACCATTAGGTAGCATTTACTATTGTTTATTAAAACTCCAAAGCCCCAGCCCAAGTCAAAATTCTATTAAAAGACTCTGTGAGCAAACTTTCGATCTCCTCATCAACTAGCGCCAAGATCCGTTTTTTTTTTTTTTAAAACCAAGATACGATACAAAGTAAACGAAAATACCAAAATGCTATACGGTAAGAATTATTTTCTGAAAAAACTACATTTAAAATTGTTCAGTGGAAGAATGGTTTTTAAAATTAATCAAACCAAGAACAATTTCTTCGATACATAATTTCATGTACCAAAACTTGTTGTTGGCAGGAAGGATTTATCAACTTCATCTACATCATATGATTTGTGTAATAATTTAATTGTAATTTGAATGAAAATGATGAGTAAATTATTGTTACTAATATGATTAAGGAATTATTATATGGTGTATTAAATTAAATGTTATTAATAATAAATAAATAATTATAAGATTTTATGAAAATTAATAATGAATAATTAAGTTATATGAATGAAAAATAAAAATTAATTTATCTCACAAATAGTGACTTTCGGTGCTATATCTTATTCTCATTATCATATGTTGTGGTCATTGTTGTTGTTGTTGTTGTTATTGTATGCTCATCTCTTTTTGAGATTTAAGTGTTTTATTTATCTATGTAGTCGGTATATTTTAATCAAACCAAGGTAATTCAACTAAAGAAATCGATTGTCGAGAAGTGGCATATGCTTCATTTGATGGTTCATCATGTTCAAAAGTAAAAGTGTTGTATCTAATAGAAAATAGTGCAAAATCATTAAGTAAAGATGTGAATCATTCAAATTGAGTAGGAGTGGGTGAGTTAAAAAGGGATGATGATGAAGGTGGCATATGATAAGATTTAAATTGAGTGGGATTAAGAGAGGTGAAAGGGGGTGATAATAATGTTAAGATTAGCATGTAATGAAATTGACTAAAATTTTGAGACTTTTGGTCCTCTATAGTTTCATTTTCAATTGGTGGTTGGGTAAATAAATAGCCATTATATCACTTGCTTGATCTATCTCGAGAAATTTGTGAACGAGGTAACTCAACTCTTGGTGGAGCAGGCTGAGAATCCCTGTTAAATCATTGTTTTCTCATTGAAAATAAGATGTTGTGTTGGTCTTAAACAACCCTATCTAGATAGTCAATGCAATGAGAGCATTTTAAATGAAAATTAACCATTAGCTTGTATAACTCCTCTACTATGTCAACATAAAATAAACAATAAGACATTAGATTACAATTCTTTTTTTTTTAAAGAAAAAGGATAGTACAAGTGAAAGAAGGTGAAAAACTTATTGCATACCCAATATCATTATTAATATGTTGGATCTATTATTGGATATGTCTCCAATACCATTGTATGTCCTCATATGTTCTATCAAACTCATCGAGTGCTAGAAAAGCACTAATAATAGTAAGTAGTCATCTATCCTATGCTTGAATGAATATGGAGTTTTTTCAAGTTCAATTTGTAGTCATTCTATCTCGTAATTGAATTGTGTGGTAATTCCTTAAATAAACAGGTGTGGAAGGAATTAGTTGCTGATGATCAAATTGTCTTAATACACGACCAAGGTGATGCCATTCTATAATATGAAAACAAGTTAGGAGAATTGTGACGAGCTAGATCTCGGGTGTTGCCAAATTATAATTTAGAATTAATTGGCATCCTTCAGGATATTCATATGGCCACCAAATTATCTCATCATCAACCATTTTATTAAGGGAACTCTTATATTCTTGCAAATCATAGTAATTAGATGAGGGTGTTGCCTTATATATTTCCATCTATTATTACAAAAATAGCTGTTAAAATTTGTATATGTTTTAAAAAGAATACTTGTTGGATAAATTTAACATATCTAAAACCTAAGGGAGGTAAGAGATGATAGATATTGGAATATGGATCTACAGGCGTAGGTAATTGTGGTGGTAGTATGGGCAAGCGATCTCATGCCCACAAATGTAGTAATGGTATGCACCCTTCAATCCCATCCTCAATTGGGTTAGTAGCGTTATATAATTCCCTATATAGGTGAGCCAAAATCGCTGATCCTCAACTAAATTTTTCAATTTCTTCAAGATTACTTGATCTATCTAGCATGAGATATTCGCCAATCAACTTAAGGATGTATGCATAGGTGAATTGTTGAACTTGTACATCATCTGCACCATTGGGTAGGTGATTAAAATTCTCTTCCAACTAACTTATAATTAGACATTGTCCATACATTTTATCTTTATGTGATCTAATATCGAGATGCTCTTTACAAACGTCAAACCAATTGCAATTTGTTTGCCCAATGATAGGTATTCTAGTGCTTGGAAGACCTAATTGTATGGTTATATCCTCCAATGTTATAGTGCACTCTCTAGGTATAGTATAAAAGTCATCACTTTTCATTAAATGTTGAGACCAAACTTCAATCATAATCAAATTGTCCTTCTTGAGCAACACCATAAAATTTAGCTACTATAAGATATTTGATTATTTAACTCAGAGACTCTATCATTCAATTAGTGTGTAAGACTCGTCTAATGTGTAAGATCTTACTAACCTACAAAGGAAAATAAAAAAAAATTTAATATTGAAGCATAGCTTTTATAATCTATCATAAATAAAATTTGCTTACATTATTATTTCACACTTGTTGTGAAACTATGTTGGGGTTGCAAGTACAAAAGGAAGTTATCCACCGGACCAGGGTTAATGACCTCTTCTGGAGATTGTGCCATTTTCATACGTGTGTGCATAATTTAAAGATAAATGTCTAAATAATAATAATAATAAAATTAACCAAATACAATTTCATCTCATTAAAAAATCATAATATTACTTCTATTATAAATTTAATTTTATTGCCCATCATATAGCATGTATCTCTTTTTTTTATTTTTAATAGGGATAAAGTTAAAAAATTATTTTATTTTATTTTATAATAGAATGCTAGTGAAATATAGTTCGAAATAATGTTGGATATTAAATGTGGGAATATCTCCCAAAAAAATTTAAATCTTAATTTTTTATATTATAAAAGATTAGTCTCTTTACTAGATCTAATTCTCATTAATAAAATTATTTATTTTATTTTAAAATATATTTAATGAATTAACAGTAGTTTTTTATTTTTTTACCAACAATCTTTGAATGTCGCCATGAGGTGGCTTATCGTGACGATTTGGGGGCATTTAGTATGGTTTATTCCAACTCCAAAGCCACAGCCATGCTCAAAATTCTATTAAAAGACTCTTTGAATCTCCCCATCAACTAGCGCCAAAATCAGAAACTTCAGATTCAGAACGTTATAGTTCATAGTTCATACTCATAGTAGAGATAGAGTGGAGACAGTAGGACAGATAGACAATGGCTATAGCTTCAACACTTTCCCCCAATACTCTTCATACGTATAACAATACTCTTGCTTTGCGTGCCACATGCTCTTCTGGTTTCGCCTCGAATTCGAGCTTGTTTGGCTCTAAGCTTCGCCCAAGATCCTTTTTCTTGTCCGCGGGGAAACCTCACGCTAATCGTTTATCTGAAATCAGACCCATCTCTGCGTCTCACGAAGCTTTTGATGTTGTGGTAATCGGAGCTGGAATCATCGGGTTGACTATCGCCCGCCAGTTGCTGATCGAGTCGGACCTATCAGTTGCTGTAGTTGATAAGGCCGTTCCTTGTTCTGGTGCAACTGGCGCAGGTGATAAGATGCCTCCTCTATCTTCTCTATTCTTCATGGTTCATTTGCCGTAGTAGAGTTTGGATTGGTTGCATTCCTGAGATTTTATGTTTGTTGAATGATCTTTAGTTTGTTTTTGGTGTTATCCATTTCTCCAATGTATTCTTCTTCTTCTTCTTCTTTTTTGGGTGAAAATTTTACAATGTATTCTACACGTCATCTTTTGATGGGAGAACAACAATCTTTAGTTTGGATTGGTTGCAGCTCATAGATTTTGAGGTTTATTGAATTAATGGGTTTGTTTCGCCGGGGAGACCTCCCCGCTTTGGCCTTTAGGCGTCTACTCTCAATAAATTTATCGCATGCGAACAATCTTAATAACTTAGCACTATGTTATTTGATCGCTAACAAATGTTTTCGCGCAGATCATAATTCTGTTTATAGAAAAGACCCCAAGTTTTTTCCTACAAAATGAGCACAGCTGCGCGGCAAGAATGGAATTGTTCTGATGCAAACTGTAAAATGGGTTTGTGGGCATTTGTCTTTAAAAGAAGGAAAGCTTCAAAACGTTATTTTGGATTTTCTTCTTGTAAAATGGTGTTTTTACTCTCAATATGGATTTTTTGATGCAATATTTAGTTATTAAATTACCTTGATGGCTTGACTCTTTTTATTGTTTTTACAACTTGCAATTATTTTTCTCATTCAGAATGTAATTTAACATTGTTGACATTAGTGACCTAAGAAGGAAAAGGAAAGCTACTGTGATCTTTTTCTAACTAGTTTCTCTACGTGAGGTCTTTTCTTTGGGCCCTGGCAAGTTGTGCTTTTTCTAAACTTCAGTTGACTGTAGGATTTCTTCTCTTTTCTTTTGGAATTTGAACTGGTTTTAGGGCAGGGATATCTGTGGATGGTAAACAAAACACCAGGAAGTGAAAAGTGGGATCTTACACTGAGAAGCTATAAACTGTGGAATATGTTGGCAGAAAGTCTACAGAAGCAAGGCTCAAATCCTTTGGAGGAATTAGGTTGGAAAAAGACTGGTATGACAGATTTGGATCCTTATTCCCTGAATGCCTCTTTTTTTCTTAAATAATTTTGAAGGGAGTCAATTCAATGGTTTAAATACCTGCAGCTGCAGATGGAGTTGCATTTGCAATGATGTGAATTCTTGACAAGTTCTTGTCCATCTAATTTAAATTATAATTGTAGAGGCAAACTAATGGATAGAATGTGAAACTTTTTGATTCAAGAATAAGAGATTGGGTAATTTCTTATTTATTATTTAAATTCCTTATTATTTCAGTCTGTATTCATGGGGAGCAAGATGTCAAGAAACTTTGATACTGTTTTGAATGTGTAAATTTTGAACTTGCGCTGCCATGACAGGAAAGTCTGTGGTTTTTTTTTTTTTTTTTTTGCAGGTTTATATGCTGTCAATACATCTTAAAAAGATTGCTTCTATTGATTTGGCTTTGTGCTTAAATGTTCCACGTAGATCATGAATTTTATTTTTCAATGCTACTTGGCAATATTCAAAGGTGAGAGTTGACTCAGATCTTCATCTGGGCATCTAACAACACAAAACACTAGTGTCAGAGTCTTGGCATGCAACTTTCATGGTTTCTATCCCTTGAGACTCCCTAAATTGTACCAACAGCTTTGACTGTAACTTCCTTGACATGAAATCCTTCAAACTAAAGCTAAAACCAAGCTGTCAAATTGCCGTGGAAGAGCTTCACATTTGCAACCCCAAAATTAAAAAACAACGTCCTTGCTAGATTTTTCAGCCATGGCTTAGGTCCTAAAACAGCTACCTAGGAATTCACATAACCAAGTCAGATCACCAATACAAAGAATCATTCCTTTTGAGAGAAAATCTTACTTCTTACACGCATGATGCTGGAGTATAAGAATACAACCTCTTTTTCTGTAAAAATTAAAAAACATGGCTTTCTAACCTCTGACAAATTTTAAAACATCCCCATTAGTCATTTACCTGCTCCACTTCAAACACTTGCCACTTCTTTGGACCACCTCTGTGCCTGTCCAACACTGTCCCCCCCCCCTTCCCGGGGGGAAAAAAGACAACCCCCTGAATGCCTGAATGCCAAGGCACCCTTATCTGGCTTCTGCCATGGTTATTGCTGGAAGATTCTGCTTGAATGACTGAAATTATACTCCAAGGTCGTAAAGTTAGATCAGTGACTGAAATCACTTGAGCTCCAATTGCAACCAGTCATTGATCAAGATATTTTGGACCTTATTAGAAATGAAAGTCATTTGTAGGCTTTGATCTAATAGTTTCAGCTTTTGGTCCTATGTTTCCTAAGCATGGTATAAGAGCTTATTCTGCCAAGTGATTATGAGTTTGATATTCTCCACCTCTATTCTCCTAACCTCAGTAATTTTTTTTAGCATAAAGTAAGGATTTTCTTCTACCTTTTTCCAAGTTTCAAGCTCAAATGATTTTCATTTGAGGATTTATGTTGGAGATTAAACTCATTCCCTGGTCTCCGTGTACATTTTGAGCTTTGTGGTTGATTTGTTTGTTATCAGACCTATGTAGTTTTGGGTACACCTATTTTTGGAGTAAGGAGCAAGAGTGGCAGGGGATTGTGGTCAACAAACAATATAAACATCTGGTTGCACTTCAATTCTTCAAAGTTGCAGTATTACAACGAAATACCCCCATGGCTACACTTTATACAAGTTGAGTTTATAAATAAAACTGACAAAGTCATGTTGCCTTTCAAGAAAAGTCCTTTCAATGTCTTTCAATATTTCTTGAATGACAAAGCAAAAGTGCATCTCTAACTATTGTAATCTGGTGGCTTCAACAAACAAATCTTAATATTCCTATAGTAGAATATTTTTCTTATATCTGAAAATAGATATATAAAGAAAGATCTGAAATCTATTTATAAGAGTGGTACCTTATATTGTGGTCCTGTACGAAAAAAATATTACCTCTGTTTAATCAAATGAATTGAACAAGCAGTTGTATTGCTGTAGTAAATGGAGACAATTGATCAGCTATATACTATTGCATTTTGAATGAGTTTTGGCCAATAAATTTGCATGTAGATTTTGACCTTGAAGGGAAGTCTCAAAATGGAGAATACTGATTATGATGTAGAAATTTTAGCAGACTGAAATTGTAAACTAAAGTTGATGATTAAAATTTTAGCAGACTAAAGTTGTGGTCAATAAATTTGCTGTTAGCTACTGTTCTCCATTCATTGGTCTGAGTCATTTGTGTGACTGTGCCTGAGTTTCCAAGATATGCCAAGTGGTGATAATATTCAGGGGCATTAATATTTTTGATGTGGAAAAGTAAATTCCTTTTCTCTATGGCAACAAGGCTGGGACTGGTATGATATGACATCTGATCTGCAGGAAGCCTATTAGTTGGCAGAACTCATGCAGAGTCAGATATGCTAAAAAGGAGGGTTAAACAGCTCACTGAGGCTGGGTTGAAAGCAGAGTATTTGTGTAGCAGTGATTTATTCAACAAGGAACCTGCTCTGTTGGTGGATGAAGACAGTGGAGCTGCCTTTCTACCTGATGACTGTCAATTGGATGCTCAACGTACTGTGACATATATTGAGAAGGTTATTATTATCACTTTACACACACACAAACACATTTTATTTTGTTTTACTTTAAAGTAATTGTGCTATTTTGTTCCCCCAAACGTAGTTATAACTAGTTACCATGTCACTTCATGGCACAGACTGCAGTCACAAATTTATGGTTGATGTGTAGGCTAACAGGCATTTTGCATCAAAAGGACGATATGCAGAGTTCTACAATGAGCCTGTGAAATGCTTAATCAGGTTTCATTTTGATTAGGTTTAATTTTAATTTATTTCTGTTTCACTAATAGTAGCATAAATGGAACATGTTGAAAGAATATGTATTTTTTTTTTTGGGGTCAACGTCATGTTTCATTATGTGCTCAGAGGGGGCAGCGATGGAGAGGTTGAAGGCGTTGAGACTATCAAGAACACATTGTATGGCAAGAAGGCGATTATCGTTGCGACTGGCTGTTGGACTGGTTTGGTGATGCATGATTTGGTTAGAAACTGGGGAATACAGTTACATGTTCCTATAATGCCAAGAAAGGTGTGTATATATGCATCATGAACTGACATGGTGATGTATATTCCATCACCAATTCTTGCTAGTCATAGGATTCCTTTATACTTTTGCCATTTATGCTGCAATTTAGTACCTTTTTTTTTTTTTTTTTGTGCTGCTGAAGTCGTGACAGTTCCTTGACTTGTTTAGTGTAATCATATGGTTCATAGAAATGCCTTAGAAGTTGCACTCTTTTGTAGCTAGTGAAGTGAAAACTTTTGAACTTGTGGAATCCCCTTCCAACAACTTGTAATAGGATAGGAGAGCTTTGAAAACCACATGATATGTTTGATTAATACTATTGGTCTTGACATTTCCATACTATTTCATCCAAATTTTTTGATCAATAAGTTTATTAAATATTTTTTTACATTATTGTCCACTTAACAACTTATGCTTTCCAGATGAAATAATTCTTGATATGAAATTAAAGCCTTTTAAATCAAATGGTGAAGGGATTGATCATTGCCACTTGCAATTTGCTAATGTAGCGTGTGAAAAAATTTCTACCACATATTTTGTTAGGAATATTGAGTCATTCTCTTTTTAATTTAGTCAAATTCATACCCATAGAAAGTATTACACCCTTGCTTTTTTTTTTTTTTTTTTTGGTGAATGATGGAGGCGCATAACTTTTCCATATTTTGTTTTCTTTCTGAAAAATGTATTAGAGAGAGGATGAGAGGAACAAGGTGTGGGTGGTAGGGGGAAGAGAATGGAGGGAAACATTAGAAATTAATTTGTGATCCCACTCTTTTTCATGGTTCTGTTGGACAAAATATTTGGGTCGCAAAATTAGTTTTTGACCTCACTTCTTGCATGCTAATTGTTTTGGAGCAATTTTTCCATTGCACTATGATGGAGTCCAATCAAAAAGATAAATCTAACGCTGAATCAATATTCAATAGCCAAATAGTCTGTAAAAACATTGTTACAGCGGAAAATAAGCCTACAGTCACTGCAAGCAGGCTACTTGGAAATATAGGAAGACACTCTCACACTCAGAACTTAATAACAACGAAACACACAAACAGAATAGAAAATGATGAAGAAATGAATCCTTCCTCCACTTCCAACCTGGTGTTCAAGAGACCAGGTGCTCTCCCTTGGCCCCAATCAGCTTGCCCCCTCAGGATCCTCCAAACCCCTTTAGTAAACCTCTCCAATCCCACAAATACTCTCTCTCTCCTCCGGCTCACCACACTCATGACCCAATTGACATTCTTAGTACCTAAAACCCCTTCTTTCTCTTCAGCCAGGCCTTAATACTCTCTTTTGTCTTTAGCCTCTTGCCACAGACCACAGTCCATCAACAACTCAGGCCAAGAAGCTACAGTTCCATCAGCCTAATTATCTTTTGATGTCACTTGGTGCATTTTGGTGGTGTGGGAAGAAAAATATTCATCTAATGTAATACAGAAAAAAGCACTACAAAATGACAAATATATTATTGCTTTGGTTTCTGAATTAGCAGAAGGATCATATAATGATTAATGTTTTTAACTATCTTTCAAAAATATTATTTTAACTATTCTTATTTTTTGTTATTATTTTTGTCATTGGAAGATGATTGTTTTTTAAAAAGCGGGATAGTTAATTTAAAGACTGAATGGCATTGAAGCAAGAAACAAGAATGATCCTATTGGAAACAAGAAACCTTTTGACAACAGAATTGGTTTTTATTTGTATGAAGATAATGGTGCAGTTTCTTGAGTCAATTCCTATATAAAGCATGGGATGATTCAAAATGATTATGTTTTAGTTGATTGACTAATTAATATGTTCCCTTAATTCTTTTTTTTTTTTTTGTGATTCTTGTGAAGGGTCACTTACTTGTGCTTGAGAATTTCAATTCCCTACAATTGAATCATGGTCTGATGGAGGCAGGTTACGTTGACCATCAAATTGCATCTTCGCCTCCTATGGTTTCAGGGTTGGAAAGATATGATCATGGGCGAAGCTTATCTGTTTCAATGACAGCAACTGTCAATGCAATGGGGAATATTCTTTTAGGTATTTGTATTGCCTATATATTTGTTCCTAATGGGGAATAATATATGGTTAGTTTCTATGGCCAATATATAATGTTGATAGTTTCATGTTAAGTGTTAGCTATAGTGACTGCATGTTACTAATATTAAAATGAAGGTTCTTTCTTTGAAGCGGGTTTTCTAAAGAACATGCAATTATGGTGGGTTTACTTTATGAACTCTTGTCATGTTATTTGTAGGTATTTTGTAAGGCAGACCTCTCAGCCGAGTTATCAATTACTCTATTTACTGGAACATGCTTGCTTCCTTCATTGTTATGTTCACCTTTCAGTGTAATCTCACCTTTTATTGAGAAAATAGGTGTATTGAGGATGTGACTTGAATGAATGGGGTGCTCCTGATTTGAGTTAACATGAGGTGGAGGAGAAAAAAAAAACAGAGAAGAAAAAGAACAACGTGATTTTGACATAGTTTTATAGTTGTGTGATGTGAAAATATTATATGCCTAACGCCTGAAAAGAACCATTATTAAATGGTCTTTTGATCATGATGTTTATTAGCCTATCTTAAATACTGGGAAATGCTTTTGGATTGAAGTTGTCTTCCATTGAAACTTAATTGAAAGTTTCATTACTCATTATAATCAGAAATAAATTTTGTACGATAGATTAATATTTGCAGTGGATCCATATGTTTTGCTTTTTCGATTTTCCATTTTAACACTATTCTCATTATTTGGGGTAAACCAAAATTCCAATCATTAAGGAAGTAGCCGTGAATTTGCTGGGTTCAGCACTGATTTGGATGAGTCCATTGTCAATCACATATGGAAGCGAGCTGGAGATTTCTTTCCCACATTAAAAACACTTTCCCTTTCAGATCTCAGGGCAAGTAGAAATGTCAGAGTTGGATTACGACCCTACAGTGAGTTCTAATTTCTCTCAAATCTCCTGTGGTTGAACAATCGTTTTGTTAGCTTCTCAAAGTTATCTGCATGTATTTTCTATTTCCAAAAAAAAAAAAAAAAAGAAGTTATCTGCATATATTTTCCTTACTGCCTGAGATGTATTTGACTTGTAACAAAATTTAACACATCAGTGCCTGCTGGGAAGCCTGCGATTGGGCCTGTGCCTGGCTTGTCTAATGTATACCTTGCAGCTGGGCATGAAGGGGAAGGGCTTTCGATGGTGAGTTTGCACTGTCCTTAGCGTTAGTTAAATTAAAGGACTCTGAAAATCAACCCTTCTCTTATTTAAAAAAAAAAGAGATAATGAAACTTCCAGTTTCTCAAGTTTGTATCAGTTAATTTAAATTTTTATCAATTTGATTCATTATGTTTTCTTAAATTATCATATTAGTCCTTTAAATTTTAAAATACAAACTGACTTTCAAATTAATCTAACATGTAATGTATGTTAATGACTTAGCATATATATGTAGCTAAATGAGAACAAATTAGCCTTCTAATTAGTTTAATTTTTATCAATCTAATCTCTTAGGTTGTGTTTTATTCCTTGTTTTTGGTAAAATTTTTGTCTATTTTTCCTATCTAAATAAATACACTTCTTTTCATTAGTTTACATGGTTGCCATCAATAGTTTGTCATCTATGTCAATAAATTTTAATGGTATTACCTTTTTTTAAATAATAAGAACCAAATTGATAATTGAGGCAAATTGAAGGGATCAAATCAATAATTGAAGCAAACTTAAGGGACTAAAAGTTTCATTATACCAAAAAAGAAAAATCAGCATTGCCTATCTATTGTAGAATGGTGGTGAATGTGCATTTGCACCTTTACAATGTATCTGGGAAATGCAAATTTCTTATTTAGGCTAGAAATGAATTGAAAGATCCTTCCTAATTTTGGAGCAATTTCCAGGCTTTAGGGACTGCTGAACTAGTCACTGATATGTTGTTGGGTCGTCCTACAAAAGTTGATGATGCACCTTTTTCTGTGCATCGGTGCTGTTGATGAAATGCCCGATACGAAGAAGAATTGTTATTCATGCATTTGACAAAATCTTGGTTGTAATTACTGGTACAGGTCTAGGATTTTCGAAATAAGAGGCCATCTTGTAACTTCCATAAATGGCTGATTTTCAGAGTATGACTTCCCTTACTGATTAGCTTTCTTTCTGTAGTCCTTCCTATTTTCATTGAATTTGTTTACCCCCACCTATATTTCCTTGCTTTTACTTAAATTTACTTTGCTTTTTTTTTTTTAATGTTTTTATCTTATGAAAAGAATCGCTGAAATGGTGATTACTTTGATGAGTAAATAATTTATTTCTCCTGTGATAGACAGTAATGAATCACATTTTTTATTTCATTATCTATTTTGACGTCTTAGCTATTCTGCTTCCGCTATCACGTCCAATTCAGCTCTTTCTATGGCGACTATCAGATACTATAACAGGCAACTTCCCCTTTCCTCAACTTTCTTTTTGATGGCGTTTGAGAAAAAATCAAGCTTATCCTGCCACTTTGCTTGTGTGATTTGAACTTTCTGCGACAAATGGTTTTTGCTGGGTGTAAATTTTATGGAATTTTTTTGGGGTTTGGGGGGGGGGGGGTAGACAAATTAAAAGTACCATACCGGACAAGAGTCAGTCTAACTGTCCTTGGGTAACTTCTGTTGGGTATCTTGGACTTCCCAACTCCTGTTATTATTTTTTCTAGCCTTTAGTTAATGAGGAGCAATTATTTTTCTACATAAATTTACAAACAGTTAAATTGATATGCTGTTTGGTACGCCTCTTCCCGTGACTCCTTTTGATCCAGAACTTGTTGTATTAGGGTACAAGAGATTGTACGTCATTTTTGCAGGGCCATGTCTGTTCTTTAGCCTGGGGTCATTGTTTCTATTTAAGATCCTTGTCTGAATCTTCTTTAATTCTTCACTGAATTGTGCAAATCTCTTTCGAGCCTCATCATTGTCTATCCACTCGGGAGAGAGTTGGCAACCCAAGTACACTTCATCACAAGTGTGTCGTGAGAGGACTTCTACTAATGCTACAACCAAACTCATTTCAAATCTTCCTGGCAACATCTTGAGGAAAAAATCATCTGGGTCCTTAATAAAGTCAGCAAATTCATATGTTCCTTCGTCAGGAATAAATTGTCTGCATAGTGTTGGACGACCTGGTGGGTAACCACAGTATCCATATTGTCCATAGTTAAGCGAAGCATGCATAGCTGAAGCAATCCAAATGAGTGTTGTCAATGCTTCTACAAGGTTTGGGAGAGTAGTCATTTGTTTCCACCAAGTTTCATTGCGCTTATCGCCATGGCCAACATTTTGAATCTCTGACCACCAAGCCTGGAGTTCGACATCAGACTTGACTGCATCATCATCTTTGTAGAAGAACGAACAGAAGTCGTTGACCCATTGCTTGATAGCAACCCATATTTCAAGTCCATCAGTGGCATATGGATAATCCTCCAAAAGAAGTTGAATCCCCGCAGGGTTATTTACATCTGGGTCTTCTATGGCCAAACCCCTGAAAGACCACAATCAGAATCAAAGATGCCCAATGAAGCTTCAGCTTCAAACTCTGTAGTTGGAAGATTAAAGAGTAAACTAACAATTTACTGCCCGAATATTTAGAACCAGCTAGCTTTAGTCTTCAAGTTAGTTAGTGTATAAGTTAATCTCTAAAAATAATAAAGTTGAATATTAGTTCTTTTGTCATGTGGTAAAAAATGTTTGAAGGATTAGTTAATAACGAGCTTATTATATTGGATGATTAACTTGTATGGTGTAAAACTAAAATCACACTAGTCTAGCACTCATAGGTCAAACGTTGTAGTCCTTGCTACTGAAGGTGCAATGCACCTTTTGAGTAGATCAGCAGGAAGTCCTTGTTCATTGAATCTCCACTCTTTGTAGAGCTCAGATGATATTCGCATGGAGATTTCCCTGGAAAAAAATGTTTTCTCGAGAATTCCTTCTGCATTTATAAAGATACATCTTGCTAAAGCATTTATATGTATGGTGTCTTTGAAATGAGGATTCAAGATCCGATGGATTGGATGCATAACGCTAAGATGTCTTCTGGTGGCAATGATAAATGGTTCAACAACTGCATGGGTATGTAACCTGCAAAAAAAAGTTCATTGCAGAGAACTTAGTAGCAAAACAATCTCCATGCTTATTATTTATTGAAATAGAATACGGTGTGCGTGCAGAGATTATGAGAAAGTTAGAATTTATGGGAGTAGGGTGGTTATTTGCTGCTAAACAATTGCTCATTTCTCTACTTTTATTGGCTAGTTCTTAGTATTGCTCCTGAATTACTGAATATTTTCCATAGGTGGCATAGTTTAAAACTAGACACATTTCCGTGTGCATTGCATGAGTTTGAAGAATGAGTTTAGTTCGAGACTTCATAATATGGGATACCAAGTCTTACATTAAGTACTATGAGATATTCAATGAAGTATTTAAGTGAGATACTCAATGGAGTATTTATGTGGGTTGGTTCTCCCACCTCAATAACTAGCTTTAGGTTGGGTTGAGGTTGTTGAACTAACCTACTTAAATATCCCATTAAGCAACTCATGTTATTTAATGTGGGATTTGGTGGTATCTCACACTACCAAGTTTTCATCAATTGACCTTCCATGAAAAGGTGATGTCTTAGTGGCTACATTTCATGACACTTCACTCAATCTCTTACCAATTAAAACCCTCTATGAGTAGCTCTCTCTAAAACCACTAACAACTAGGTTCTAATACTAATTGATGGATATCTAAGTAAAATGAGGAACCCTAGCTCAAAAGTTGGCTATTGAGGTGAGAGAACCAACCCACTTAAATGCCCCATGGAGCATCTCATACTACTCAACATTGGAATTTAGTATCTCATACTATCAAGTCTCTATCAGAGTTACATTATTCATGGCGTGCAAATATTGCAACTTGCTATAAATTTTATATTTTATATTGGTAGAACCTGATTGGATTTCAATGGTTTGCCATTCAAATAACCTTTGTGAGGTGTGTGTGAGTGATGTTTAACAATATGTGAGACGTCAATGCATGTGATTACTCACAGAAGGATGTTGAACTCACCAATGGCTAATGAGTTGATGGTAAAGACTGTCATTAGCAGCAACATGTGCTTTAGCAAGCTGCCAAAGAGCAGTTTCCAGTCCTTCTTCTGCTGGAAGAAAGACTCTGTGCTTTTCATTTCCCAGAGGAGTTGGAGGCAGACTGAGCTCTATTATTAATGGCTTTAGCATCCCATCATTCCTCAAGAACAGCAATGTCCTTGATGCATAGGCACAGACTCCATTTGTGTTGATTCTGTCTAGGAATGGAAGGAGATAGTCATGATGGTCCAGTATGAGTATTCTCCTCTCTTGCAGTGCCTGACACAATCAATTAATTCATATATTATGTTAAACTACATAATAAAAGAATGAAACTGTTTGTGATTATATAAAAAAGAAATTAATCATTTAATCTTCATCGTTTTGACTCTATTATAATCCTATCCCAAAACTTTAACTACAATTCATTTCATATAGTTTTGATTTTGTTCTTATTTAAAAAAAAAAAGATATAGTTTTGACTCAGTTAAAATTTAGTTCAATGCAACTCAATTTTTATAATATTAGCTATTTAAAAAATTATTTCCTAAATTTCAAGAAATAACTTTAGTTTTTGTAATTTTATTATTTTTTATAAACATAGAGATAAACATTTTAAATAAGTAAAATTATAAAAATTGAATTATATTGAGGTAAAGTTTGAGGTTTGATTTTTGAATCAAAACTCTAAAAATTAAATGATTAATTATATATATATATATATATATATGACCATATAATATATTATCTTTTATAGCTGTAAATATTCTGAATTACGGAAAGAGTGCCTTTACTTACCTGCGGTAATGTCAATCCTTCAAGGTTGTGTTCTATGTGTGCGGCTTCTATTGAACTATTCACTCCATTTTTGCTTTGAGGTGGGAATCTCTGAAAAGTTATAATAAGTTGTTCTTTAAGTCATTAAATAAAATAAAAACATTAGGTTTCAATTAAAATGTATAACAATTGATATTGAAATCCTGAATTTGACAATAATGTTTAACTTAATATTTGATCTTGCAAAAAGTTTTCTAATTTTAAAGAATTAATAAAAATATCATATTTTTTGTTAATTTAATGATATTGAAATTATTTCGTCTATAAATCGGGTTTAGATCCTCTCATTATCCCCTCTCTCCTTTTCTTTTCCTCATCCCATCTACACATTTAAATAATGAAGTGAATGATTCAGATTTAATAATTTTTTCCTAACAAATTCAATTTAATTATTTTACAAAATAATTATCATATAAAAATAAATAAATTTAAACTGTTAAAATTTGATCTGCACAGTTCATAATTATATACCATATTAATTTCTTATAAAAAAAATTTTATTTATTAATTTTATTGCAATCGTGTAAGTTAAATTTTAACAGTTTAAAATTATTTACTTATTTTATTGAGAGGTATTTAATTTAACATTAAGAGAGTTAGAACAACTTATCTTGTAATCTCGTATTCAAGTCTTGGGATATGCAATTATATTAAAAAAAATGACAAACATTTTTAAGATATCCGTGAGTTATGACTGATAATAACGGTCACAATAGGGGTTTAGATTAGTGTGGGTATTCTTTATCTAATTTAAGGATGAAAATGAGATGTAGAAAATAAAAGAAAAGGAAGAGAGAGAGAGAGAGAGAGAGAGAGAGAGGCCGCGCAGGGGATCTGCTTCCTTATAAATCATACAACTATAGAATGGTAAATAATTTGGAAAAGAAATATACATATATATATATATATATAGAGAGAGAGAGAGAGAGAGAGAGAGAGATTTACCTCCAAGCATTGGATTCTCAATGGGTGAATTCCTGCAAGCATTTGTCTTGCAAATTCCATATCATCCATCCAAGCCCATTCATTTTCTTTTAAAAAAAATCTTATAAAAGCATTAGTTTATAGCCTAATAAAAATTCCTTGGTTCCATTCAATTATCAGAAAATATAAAAAATACTAAACCACAGGTCTTTTAGACTTTAATTTTAAAGAAAAAATTATATAAAAGTGCCCACATTTTGCAAATTTTATGTTAAATTTACAACAACTTTAAATTTAATTTACAAACTACAGGTGCCTTTCAATGTATGAGAATTTGCACTTGAACTAATTTTTTCATTTGAATTTGAATTTAATACAAATTAAAATTCATATTTGTTATATTTTTTCTATAATTTCAAATTCTTTCTAGCCCTTAATGATTTGACATTTCAACCACTTTAATTTTCTCATTTTTTTCATTCTTGATATCTATGTTTTTCTTATCTCTCCTCTCATAACTTATTCTCATTTTTTACCGATTAAATAATAAAAGTAAAATTGTCACTTCCAATTTTTTATTTCTGTTTTTAAATATTAACTCATCTCTTTTATATTTTTAAAATTTTTTATACTATCCAAACAGATGGTTTTTCTTTTAAATATATGAATTTAAAATTTAAAATTCAAATTCAAATTTATCAATACAAATGACTACCTAAATGATAAGTGAAATTACCAGATATGATTTGAGGAAGAGGATAACGCACAGTACTCTTGTGGGAAGCATGGTGAATGATAGCATTGGCGATCTCAGTAACAAGTGTATCCTTTATTTTGTCTTTGAAACTTCCTGCAACCTTGCAATCTCTATTGGGAGAGAAAAGGTTCAGAATCTCTTCGAATGAGTCAAAGGTATCATCAGAATCTGCTTCAAGCAGTGACTTTAATTCTGGAATCACGAAGTGCACAAAAGCTTGCAATGCATTTGATTGCAGCTCCTTTAGTTTCTTGGGGCTGCATCTCTCATCTGCTGGAACATAAATGCTCCAAAGTATTGATTCAGGTCTGCTCTCACTTGACAAGCCTATCATTTACATGTAGTTTTAGGTCTTAGAAGAATTATTATAGCAATACTACCAGTGTTTGGATTTGATGCATTTCATGGGGTTTTAATGAGAGAGAATGTCAGTAAAGTCTTAAAAGAGGAAATTAATAACATTTAAGTTCCTGACAAATTCTTTAAAAAAAATTAAATATAACTATTGATTCAGATAATTGCAAACAAGGATTTATAGCTATGATTTGAAAGTTATCTTAAATTTAAATGTCTTATTTACAATAAGTACTATTAAATTTGTAACTATTTGAATTAATATAAAAATAGTGTCAGTGTTTGGATTTGATGCATTTCATGGGTCTTTTAATCAAATCATGTAAGGAGGAATCTAGTTAAAAATTTTGATAGATTGATCTCGTTGATGTCATATCATTGATTTGTACTAACTCAAATGATATCGTTTTAAAATTTTGGTTCGAATGATAATTGGTGATGGATCAAATCAAAATTACATTCAAAATGGATTAAAAATCTAATAAAAGATAATAAGGAGAATGGCAATTAAATCTCAATAGAAATAATTAATAACAATCATGTTATTCCATTTTTTTTTGAAAAATAAATTGCAGATATTGATTTAAATAATTGCAAGTTCAAGAGTCTTAATTACAAATAAAACATTTAAATTATAAATAAAAATTTTAATTTGTAACTGTGATTCTTGTTTAAAACTGTCTGAATTAACATTAGGAAATGATTTTTTTTTTTTAAATTTTTGTGGGAGAGTTAACTGTTTATAATTTCCTATCATTCTCCTTAAAAAAAAAGTGTAGTTAAAATTAAGGAGGAGAGGAAACTGATAATGACATACTTAATGAAGCACGTTGTCGTCCTGTTCTGAGTCTGCGAGGATATGGTAACAACCTGGAACGACCCAACACAGGTCTGGGATTTTGAGGATCACCAAGATCATTGTACACTCCATAATCATATATTCTGTCCCATTCCTTTCTCTCTCCTGATTCTCCATAATTCCCTCTCATCCTTTCACTTTCTTCCTTCCTTAGCCCTATCAGTCCTCTTGGCGTTTCTCGTGGAATATAACACTGTCTTCCAAACCCCACACACACACATGATTGTTATGTACTTGTATTGAAAAAGATCTTCACAAATGCTTTTTTAATTATTTCTAAAGTTGAAATGGTACGCTGCACTGAAAATGAATTTATAATCTTAAACGCTTTTAAACTTTTAGTTTAGAAGTTAATTTTTTCTTTTAACCTTCAAATTACAGTGACTTCTCTTGAATTTAAGAGAATGTTATTAAATTCAAGGAAGCTTTATGTAAGTTTGTCTTTCATTTAGAATAGTGTGTAAATATCTTGAAAACTATGGAGAGAAAATCTGTATAGGTATGGCTAAGAAAAAAAAAAGTGTATTCCCTCTATATTAAATTAGAAGACACTTTTAGACAAAATTATATGTATTAATAAAATTCATTTAATATACTTTATAACTTTTCTTTTTCAAAATAAAAATATAAGTTTTCAAAAATAATTTTAATTGATTACTCTATTAAGGAAAGAATATTGAAGAGAGAGAATATATGAGAAGGATAATATTAAAAAATATCATTAACAAAATTTTATTGTTATTAAAGTATATTATATATTGGGATGATCAATTTTTCTTAAAAATGTTTTATAATTTGGAATGAAGGTAGCATGAATTTTGAAATAAGAGGGGCTTTATGTAATTTTCAAGAGAGGTGTGAGAGTCCACACATCTTCTATGAATCACTTTGTTAAAATCACACAAGCTTTTGTTTCATCTTCAAATTTTGCACAATAATCTTCCCTAAAAAGGAGTAAAACCACACATTGTTACCCTAGATTTCATTAAATGACGCATGTGTGTGTATGTGTGTAAATATATATATCTTGAATCACAAGAAGTTTTAATTAAAAATATAATTAAAATGATGATGAGGTCTGAAACTTACAGTGTTGGAGAAGAAAATCCGATGAGATTTGGTGATCTTGAAAGGGTAAATCCAAGAATTGCAATCGAAGTGAATGATGCCATTGGTTGGAGTTTCGATGGAGGTATGTTGAAGATAGAATCTGTTCTTCTTGTGTTGGTTTTTTATCAGAAAAGCCAATGGAGTCCCAAAGTTCAGGTCAACACGTATTCTGATTCTGTATGTTATTAGGGTTTCTTTGTGTTCATGTTTCTTCCTCTTTCCACCTTTAAGATGAGCCACATCACTCACCTTCCCTTTCCCTGTCTCTGTGCAATGCAATTCAAGTTTGAAACTATTAATTAATTAAAATTAATTAATATAGTAATTTCCTGCTTCTCCTAAATACATCAAGCCCATATCTCATATATATATATATATATATAATATGCGCGCTTAGGGTCTTAATGATATTAATAATAATTGAGAGAAAAAATATAAAAAAATTAAATAGATATTTTATTATAAAAATAAATTTATTAAGAATAATTATGCATAAGATTTTAGTTGATTAAATTGGTACAATTTTATTGACTGAATCATGGATAACATGACATACTAGGTATAGTAGGTCTGTATAAGAATTTCTCAATTGCTATGAGCGTGGGTGGGTGAATCAATAATGCATTAAAAATCGGATCGAATTGGTGGATTGAAGCAAAAGAAATTGACAAATCAGTCATTGATTTAATTTAAAAAATAGTACAGTCAACTTCCCCGATACCTCTTAGTTTGGAAATTTGTAGTTTAATTTTCTTTTCTTTACAGAAAATGATCTTTTCATCAAATATATAAATATATATGTATATTAAAACAAAACTTAGGTGTATTTGTTTATATCCATTACAACTAATCATCCAATCAAATATCAACACTTGGATTTTATCATGAATATAATTATAACCAGTTATATTTATGTAAAAGATAAAGTGAGGGGAAAAAAAATTAAAGCCCAAGTATTGAGATTTAACAAGAGAATTGGTTGAAATAATAGATATAATTAAGCAAATGAAACTAATTAGTCTATGAAGCCAAAGAAGGAAGGAACTTACTCGGGTCAATTTCAGTGCCACTGCATATCTGAACCGAAACTGATTTCCCTTCTGGTGCTGATTGGCCTTCGTACTGAACCACTATGAAAGTTCCCTTGAGAATGCTTGTTTTCTGATCATCACGACCTGAAACATCATTGCGTTTTCGAGACCAAAGACTTTTCAAAGGAGGCACTCTAGTTCTGCCAGAAACTTCCATTATTTGGGAACATTCAAAATCATCAATATTCAGTTATATTGGTCTCTATGTGTATATATATATATATATATCAGACATGCATAGTAGCTGATGAGCTCGAGCCTTTTAATTTGCTGCATCAAGTCTTGTTTTGTTTGCTTTGCATCTGATGCCTTACTTATTGCCTTGAGGTTTTGATATTCTCTCTAAGTAATATTGCAATATTCTTACCCTTAGTCATATTCCAAAGAGGAGTGATATCCATTTGCAGAAGGTGGAACTACTAAATAAAGAAAAGAATTAGAAAGATTCGATCTTTGTCAAGTTCTTGTCTTTTCAACCAATCTCCATGAGTTGAGCTCATCCAATCATTTGATAACTACTTATTAACCTTTAACACTTAACACAATAATCAGGCTTGATCGGGTTTTATAGCAATACTATCAAGTCAAATTTGAGAATTGTTGAGCTAAATTGAAGGTAGCTCTTTCAACTTGATTTTTTTCATCCACAAAATTTAAATTTCGATTTTACGTATGGGAAATCAATGGAATTCCATCCACTTGATCCAATTAGCATTTATCAAACAATATCATTGTAAATACACACAAGAACCTCACAAAAGGAGAGACTTTTTATAGTAGTATGTTCTAAATGTTGGACTCCCTCCTATAAGGAATTAAGGATAGGGAATTAGGGCTGTACAGATGACTCAGTGGTCTGGTAACCTTGATCTTGGCCAAGCAAGGCTTTGGGCCGAACACTGGGCCCAACCCAAAAATATTTATATATTTTATTTTTTTTTCAATTTAATTATTTTATAATGTTATTTCACTTAATTTTTTATGTGTTATATTGTTTTTTATGTTCATCATGCATATTTTTTGTAATTTTAATTTTTATAATATTTTTAAATATTTAAAATTGATTTTTTTCTTACTTCATGTCAAGTAAAAATAATGAATAATTATTAATTATATACAATTTAAAAATTATTACTTTAAATTCTGACATTATTTTTTTAAAAAAACCATTTTATTTAATTAATTTATAATTTATTTCACTTAATTTTTTTATGTGTTATATTATTTTTTTTACGCTCATCATGCATATTTTTTGTAATTTTAATTTTTTTAATATTTTTAAATATTTAAAATTGATTTTTTACTTCATATCAAGTAAAAATAATGAATAATTATTAATTTATACCATTTAAAAAATTATTACTCAAATTATAATATTTTTATGAAAATCCATTTTAAATAATTATTATTATATTTTTGTTAGTTAATAATTTATTTTCATATTTTTAAAATATTTTAAAAATAAATTTAAAGCATGGAACCAAAACCCAACCCAAATTTTTAGGCAACTCAATGCCTAAATATGTATAACACATAGGGATGGGCATCGGGGTAGGGTGGAGGCCAAGCTAACTTGGTCCATGTGCACCTTCAACAGGATTTTAAATAGTTATATGAAGGTTCCACCTTTGACAATTTCTATAATTATTCAATTAAATAAATAATTATTTAACCCCCTTTTCTCAACTAATTTCTTTTTTCATTCCATTGTATTATTACCTTTGAACCAAAAATGCCAAGTAACATCAATTTCCTTATGGATTATGATATCATACATTATTAGTTTTCTTATTTATAAAATAGTTTAATTTAATTATAAAAAATTAATACTCTCATCTTATCAACATTTTTTAAAAATCTTATTTGATTCAAAATATAAGGCATTAAATAAATTTTATATATTTTATTTAATTATACTCTTACTTTATTATACTCTATTCAAGTAATGTTTTGAATAAGTCAAATGTTATATTTATTTTATTTAAAAGTTTAATTAAAAAGATGTAAAAAAATTTTAAAAATTAATATTTTAATTAATTTTTTAATAAATATAAATGAGTTAAAAATGATTGATATTATGGTGATAGAAAAGTAGAAAATTTTACAAATATTGGATTTATTCAAATATTTTTTTTATTATTACCACTGTTGCTGGAATTGAACAGTACGTCTTGGGGGGGTGTTCGCACGTGCGTGGGATTGTGGTGTTGCCACTTTCAATTTCGTCCCAGAGTCCACAACGCTTCCCAGTCTCGCATCAATGGCCGTGGCGAATCTCCAGAGGCTCTCCTCTCAAATCCATCGTCTCCCTTCTCTCTCCTTCTTTTCCAAATCCCTCATTTCCAGATCTTCTGCTTCGTCTTCCTCCTCCTCATCTTCCAACAAGGTCGCCGACCGCATCGTCAGGCTCTTCGCCATCGATCCCTACGGCCAGAAGCGCGAGGTCGTCGGCCTCGCCGGCCAGACCCTCCTCAAGGCCTTGGCCAACACTGGCCTCATCGATCCCGAGTCTCACCGCCTTGAAGAGATCGACGCCTGTTCCGCCGAGTGCGAGGTCAACATCGCTCAAGAGTGGTTGCAGAAGCTCCCTCCCCGATCCTACGATGAGGAGTATGTGCTCAAACGGAACGCTAGGTCTAGGGTTTTGAACAAGCATTCCCGCCTTGGATGCCAGGTGGTGCTCACTCCGGAGCTTCAAGGTATGGTCGTTGCAGTCCCTGAGCCAAAACCCTGGGATATTCCCTAGGATTTTTCTGAAATTAGGCTTGTTGGGTTTTTTTCTTTTCTTTTCTCGGATTCAATAATGTCTATCCAATTTGGTGAAATTAGAAAGACAGAAACTTGTTGAGTTCAATGGTTGTTTTGTGGAATGTAGCCCCTTTAATTTATTATGTGGGCATGTTGGAATTTGTGTTTAATATATTGGACTTCAATTCGAGCAATAGGCCTGATATGAATAACTATTGCATTGTCGTTAGCCTTGGTTTCCTTGTGAGAACAATCATGTATCTCCTATGAAAATTTGCAAAACTACTTGTCGCTGTGGGAGGGATTGTTTCTTTCTTTGTGAATTGGTTTGAACTCTTGGAATCAGTTATGTGGTAACTTCTTTTTACTAGTAGTAGTTTGTTAATAAGGCTATTTGTGGGATTAAGGTAACATGTCAAATTTAAAGTTGTCTGCTTAATCTCAAAAACAGAGTTGGAACATTGTGAAAAAATTCATGAATGAAGCAAAAATTTAGCAATCAAACCTACTTTATTCCAACATTTGTTTGATTATTTTCATTAAAATTTCGATGGAAGATATTACATGATGCTTAACTGATACTTAAACAAATCAAAGAGATTTAAAAAAAAATGTAGAGAGATGTCGATTGATACAAGTTTGGACTGTAGGTGGGCAAATGGGTTTGAGGGAAAATCTTTATCTCTAAATATAACATAGATAGAATGGCCGCGATTAGGAGTTTGCTCATATTTCTTTTTTCTCAGGCAATTGCAGTAAGCTTGTGGATCTTTAGCTCATATAACAAAACAAGGTGAATGATGAATTGGTTAATTTCATTAGAACTTGTTTGCTCCAGTAAAGCTACTTTTGCGGTGGACTACTATGCTGTTTTCCAGTTGAAAAATCTTGGCATAGAATCATATCTTATATCATTCACTAATTCTGTTGACATATATGAAGCTTTATGTGAAGCTTATCCCTTGATAGTTCATAAGTAGGCGTGGAAAGTCCTCTTCTTGTCTATACACCTACCAACAACAGCAGCTGACCTATGTTACGGCAAAATAGGCAGAAGCTAGCTAAGTACCAAGACCCAGAAAACTCCAGAAAGTAATAAAATTCAAACTTATTCCTGAAGAGTAATTTTCTCGCCTACTTTTGAGCCTATTGGTTGCAGAAATTCCAGAAGATGCTGAAAATCATCGTCATATCTTGGCTGCCTTGCCAATCAGGCTACAAGCTTGATCATCCAAAGTGCCAAAAGAAGAGTTTGGCTTAAAAACCCCCTTTCCCAGATTCATGTCAGAGGCAATCCACAGTTCTTTCTCCCTCGGATCACCTATGGCTTGGCATCTTACGAAGGATAGCGATGCCAATGAAACCTTCGAGCTAATTTCTCATTCCAGCTCTTGAAGTTAGCATATGCAATCCAACGCAACCTTTTGCGATAATTGGCTTGCTAGGCGCTAAAATACTTAACTGCATTCACCTCCTTGGCACTGGGATTGGTGGGTGATGAGGAATGTTATTTGATTGGATCTTCATTGTTAGGTGTTGTAATAGTCTCCATCAAGGACTTTTTTCAATTGTTGTTTGAATGGGCATGGTCAGATAAACAACAAAATCAGCAGTTAAAGAAGCTCAAGGATTGTCTCCGAACCACTTGCTAGCTCCAAGAAGTTTAGACCAACTGGTGTTTCCTTTTTCTCATCACATCCCCATACCTTGGGGAACCTTCCTCTTTCTTCCACACTTAGATTGATTGCCTATGCAGTCTACTCGAGGCGGATAGAAACATTGGGCATTTTCTCAATTTGGGTGGTGGGCATTTCTCGCGATTTCTTGGATGTCACCCTTGACGTTATTGACGACCCAACCTCGACAAGCATAAAATTCAATCCACAACTAATTAATAGCCTGCAATCTGTGAGAACCTAAAAAATATCGTTTGGGCCAGAGGACAGGGTCTCGTTGACTATGTTTTGTAGAAAGGTGAAATCAATCTGCAGCTTCATTGATGCCTGCAACTGTGAAATCAAGGCAATGAGCCAATCTGCCAATGACTGAAGATTTGCTGCACAGTGCACATGATAGCTGGAACCCCAGGTTGATCGGACCAGATGCACTGATAGGACAGCGATTCCTCACTGCCACCCCTGCTCTCAGACGATTTGCAATGTTGGTCTAGCTGTTGGAAACGCTCATCTTCATCCTCACCCCCTCATTAGAGGTATCTTTAACCTAGAAAAAGGCATCCTGTTTAGACTTAGAGATGGAATATATTTCGTTTCACTGTGACAGTATAATTGCTATATTGTTTGTTTTTAGATTCCAGGTAGCTTCTTGCCAACTATTCTCCTGAATTCCTCTATTGCCATTTCGGCTCCTCTTCTCCTTTTACCTCTCACACACATTGAACATCAATATCTTAGGTACGTCTAATGCAAAGAGATCGAACCATAATCAAGGGGTCCTTCGGTAACTGTCAGACATATGGTCACTAACCATGATTCCAAGGTGTTTCGAGCTGTGTTCCGAGATCTGATTGCAGAAATATGCTCAGAAGTTGGAACTTATTATGCCTTTCTATGGAGATTACTGAGGAAGAACCTTCACCTTCCCATAAACCCATCTTCAGGTCAACAGAGCGTTGAATGATGATAAGTCTGATTCTTTGCTTATATTTTTCCAACTGCAAAGCGTCAGAGCTATCAACTATTGCTTTAGTGGGATTGGCCTAACCGGGTGAAGTACCAATTCATCACCCAACCTACTTTTATTTGAGTAGAAACTGGAACTTTTCATTAAATGAAAAACAAAGTAGTAGAAAGAACTACAACAACAGCGGGTTACTCTCCATCATCTTCCTCCTCTTGTAACATGGAGAAGTCTCTCTCTGTTTTTTTTTTTTTATAACAAGGGCCACAAGGGGGAAAAAAACAAGCAAAAGACAACTAAACAATAGCAATGTCCTGCACAGGAACAAAAACTAAATCAGGGGGAGGGAGGAACATAGTATGAAGTCCAACAACACATAATGAGAAGCCTTTTCTTACTTTAAGTTCAAAATATAGATTGAGTAGGTGTTATATATATATATATATATATAATTACACTTTTATTTTATTGGGTAATTAATAAAGTATTTTGAATAAGTGAAAATTTTATTTATTATATTCAAAGACACGATTGAAAAGATGCAAAAAAATTTTAAAAATTTAAATTTAATTAATTTTTTAAAAATATAAATTATTTATTAATAATTTATATTGTGGTTTGATGAAATATTTTGTATTGGAGGTTTTTTTTTTTTTTAGAGCAAAAAATTTTTCTGCTAGAGATTTGTTATTGGTGTTCCTTTGTCAACTTGTTCCCGAATTGTTGTAGCTCCCTCCCGAAAGATGTCAGACTCATTTGTTGCTCCACCTACCTTGCCATACTTTTGTCGACCAAGAAATTACAGTGATGTATGACTTTTATTGTATTTACTTATATTTTTCAATTAACAAGTGACATGTTTTCGAAAAGTGATAATAATAATAGAGGCATCGATAATGAAAATATAGAGAAAATAACACGGTTGAAATTGTTAAAATTTCAAATAATTAAAATTTAAAAAAATTAACAATATAAAAAATTATAATAAAACAACGATATGTGATATTAGAACAAAATGTTATCATGTTGAGTCTAATTCAATAAACGTTTACATACTAGTATTTGATTGGTTGGTACAATGAAATAGAAGTAATAAAAAAAGAAGTATACAATTGATTTGTGAATGAAAAGCATGTTTTGTATTTTACTATTTTTATAAGTTCAAATAATAAAATGACAATTTTTGTTGATTAATAGTAATATAAATATTATATATTTTTATGTACACCCTCGTTGTGCATAATAGAAAGTCTCTCTCTAGAAGCATTATCAAACTGAATAAAAAGTTAAAAAAAAATAAAAAAGTATAATTGTTAGTTCCTATATTTTTTAATGTATTTTAATAACTTTTCATCTCATATTTTCTTGGTTAAAAGAATAAATTAACCTCTAAAATATAAGTCTAAGGATATTTAGGACCTTAAACTTATAGTTGATACAATGTTTTTATTTAACCTTTGAAAATGATGTAATTTAATTTTTATCACTAACAAAAGTTAACTTTGATCTTTAGTTAGTTAAAAAAAAACTTTAAAAATTACATAAAAAGACTAAAAAATTACAATAAAATATTCAAAAATTACATATAGAAACCCAAAAAATTATAGAAAAGACCAAAAAGAATTTATTGGTTTTTTTTTTAACTTTTGAGGTTGTTTTGTATCATTTTTAATTAGCTAAATATTAAAGTTAACTTTTATTAATAATAAGAGTTATATTGTATCGTTTTTAAAAGTTGAAGAGAGAATATTATATAAACAATAAATTTAGAATTTCAAAAGATTTTAAATTTATAATTTAAAGACTAAATTACTCGCTTACCCTATTTTCTTCTACCTTAACTCAATTTTACTGTTACTTGTACATTTAAAGTGCGCTTTTCCCCACACACGTATTAGGCTTTAGCTGTTGAGTTAAAAGAAATAGGCACCCCCTCTGCTGCTCTACTGTCCCACCGTGGAGGGATAGTAAATTTAGATAATCCATAATTAAGATAATTTATTTTTATATTTATTTAATAAATTCACTTGATCACCAAGATTTAATATGATAGCTTAAATTTAATATTAAAATTTTTTATAATTTTTATGAATTAACTATTGAGATATACTTTGAACAGTGTAGAATTAATATTAAAATTATACTAAATTTGGACAATTCATATAAAATTTGAACTGTGTAGATTGATGATTAAATTTAACAAAATTTTATAATCTTTATTTTAATAAATATAAAATTTAAATTAAAATAAATTTAGATGGTCCAATTTATCTATGGAAGCAGTGAAGGGGCAGAGGAGGGAGGGATGAGAGGATAGAAGCTGAGTCCTGAGAGAGGAATGAGGGAGAAAAGTTTACACATGTTTTTTAAATGAACATATTTGAAAAGTATAAAATTAAAGTTATGCGTCTGTATATTTACTGGTTCATATTCTTCCTCCTCTCTAGGTTCCATCAAGTAATATTGATACAGCCCGTGTACATCAACCTTGAGGAGTTATGCCCATATTGGTCCTAGATTTTACTAGTGATAGATTGAAACTGAGAAGGGAGCATTGGTGAAACCATGTAATAGAGATTCTCAATGCTTGAATACGAGATGGCCCTCAGTCGACATTAGTCCCTATCTATTGAGCTAGATGCAGCTTTAGCTATATAGGAGGTCCTTCAGCCTTATTATAAATAGTGGACATTTGTTTTTTTTTATTCCTTTAGTATTTGATTTGTATAAATTGTCTTTTGTAACACGATTCGTATAAATAAATAAAAAATTCTTTTTCTTTTGTTGTATGTCCTGAGATCATTCTAGGCCTTGGGGTCTTTTATTTCTTTGTTCTTTAGGCTTTGTTATAGTGACGACCAATATTTTTTTAATTAGACTTGTATCTTTTTCACATTTTAACAAAAATTAAAAACATTTATTCTATCACGCTTTGTGTATCTTTTACATTCAAATAAACTGTGGTAAGAAAGTTTGACACTCTTTTATTATCAATTAAAACTTAATATTTAACACGCCTGGTATTTATTGTTTACATGATGAACAAAAGTAATTTCATGTCTATATACAACATTGCTGGGTGGCAATTGTATAATGGGATTAACTCAAAATGTAGCTAAGAAAACAGAACCAAAAGCTATGTTGTTAGATCATGAATTTAAAAGTCTAAATTTCTCTTTGTCATTTTATTTATTTCTTTATTTGATGTAATTAAGAAAGTCAAACCTTTATCTTTTTTCTTCTTTTTGAATCCACATTTTTATTTTAAACAACTAGCTAAATCTTCTTTATATTTTTCTATTACGGTCTTTGTAATTCCCCCTTCAATCTCATCTTTATTTTTTTTAATAAACAAATCAATAACATTTAGGAAAACAAAATTTCAAGGCTATAATATCACAAGAAGAATCAAAAGAAAAAGGAGTACAAAAATCAATCTCATCTCTATGATTTTGCGTTTCTCATGCTTGCTAAGCTCATTATTCAATACTTTTATTATTCCTGTCAAATGCACTTGAGGTCACTATCCTTGACGATGGGCCTCCTGATTATTGTTGTAAGTATTTTTGTCACACCAAATAAGTAAATAAAGAAATATTCTATTATTCATTTTTATGTTATATTCAACTACTAATATGTAAAAATATATATTTCTATATACTTTTAAAACATATTTATATGGTTTAATGGTCATATATTTAGCGCATATATAAAATTTTTCATCATTTTATTTAAAAAATTGATTGATTAAACCAAATTGGAAGTTTTCAGAATATCTTAAAAAAAAAAAACTGATTAACTTGTAATCAAAACCTTTTGTTTTTAATATTTCCAATGCAATTTTTCTTTCATCCCCAATGTTTACATAGATTGGCTTATATAGCTGTGTTGCTGTCTTTTAAAACATGCTTTGATAACATGTTACTTACTTACACTGACACTTGTTTCAATCCATTTCATAAGTCTCTTCTACTAACACTTGTCTCACATCTTTGATGTCAAATGTAATTATTTTGGAATCTACATAATGTTATAAACTTATAGCTAAGTTTAACATTGTTCTCATTTAAAAATTATAATAAAAAAGGGTCAAAATTTTTTGTTGGGCTGTTATCAACGAACTGGAAAAAAATTCCAAGTGGTTTAATATACAACTTTATAGTTTAATTTTGTTTGGATGTTTATTTCTAACCTAACTTGTAGTCATGAATTACTTTGTTTCAATTTTGTCCTTTTACAATTTTTGATAATTAGAGAATAAACACTTATAGGAGGGGAGAGAGGGAATATTTTTAAAAATGATAACATTTAACTAGGATAAATTGAGAGATTGATTTTTTTTAGACAACTTTAATAACTTAACTACCTCTTAGTTGGTTTTGGTGAATTAAAACTTAAAAGTGACTTATAAATATATACTCTTTTCAAATCACAATATAAAGTATTAGTAACTACTTCATGGTTCTTAAAAAAAAATATTAGGTGAAACCTTTTAATCTCTTACAAAAATTTCATTTCTTTGCAATTATACTCTCATTAAATAATGACATTTGAAATTTTAACACATCATTTTTTTTTCAAGAAGAGTAATAGATTAGGGGCATAGTAAAAAATTGTAAAAATTACCTAATTGCCTATATTTATTACCAAACAAGATGTTTAGAGGATGTTTTATACTGTAGTCTGGAAGGAGTAGGATAAGAGGGAGTATGTATCAGTCCCCCCACTTTATATGTGCTAGTTGCCCTTGTTGATAATATTACTTTCTAGTAGTGCATCCATATATGTCTCAATATGTGATGGCCCACAACTTAAATTTTATTTTATTTCAACACCTAATATCTTGAAAAACTTAGACTATTATTACCTATTACCCAAACTAATCCATATATACCTTCATTGTGTGGGACTGTATTTTACCGAAAGCGGCATCACATATATCTCAAGAATGCATTCAATATTTTCATTTAACATAGTTGTGTATCTTAGGACTTGAATCTAAGACCCCAAGACATATTAGGTCAACTTCCGTGAAAGCACGATTAGTCAAACCAAATGTCTCCCAATTGGATTCAAAAAATTCTAAATTGTGATATTTTAATTCAAGTCCATAAATTCAAACAAAAAATATTGAACTCACTAGATCCGAGCATTGGTAAAAAAAAATTGTTTAAAAAGTGTTTATTTTATGATAAAACAAGCTAAAGAAATTAAAGTTACCCTATGATAGATTTTTATTTTTAAGAAAAAAGGAAAATTTTCTTTTTGGGTAATTTTTTGAATGAATGGATAAAAATTCTTATCTTCTTAAAAATTTTGATATATATATATATATATATATTTATGTAATTTTGATCTCTTTCACTCAAAAGTACATAGTTTTTTAGAGTGATATTCTATTTTTTTAATTAAGTAATTGTACATCTTCTAGATTTTGAGTAGAAAATGGATAGGATTAATTTAGAGGATATGTCATCAAATCTAGAAAAAAGATAAAATTATCAATTTAGTTTGCTCAACATAATCTTAGCCATAGATCAAGATGCATCATTTTATTTTTACTTATATATATATATATATATATATATATATAAGTGAGAAGTGGCGAAAGACTTGAAGTTCTCGTGCTTTGCATATTTGATGAGTTGTAAAATTGAAAAAAAAAAAAAAACACAAGTCATTATAATAGAAAGCATATAACTTTTGTCCAAACGTCGATAAGTTGGATTGGTGGAACCAAGAATCAATTTGAGGTTCAGTCCATACACCAAAAAAAAAATGCTTAGTTTGAGAATTGGGGAAATAGATGGGTAAACTATGGAGCAGGTTTTTTCAGATCAAGCCCGACGATCCAACTAGAAATTGCTTGAAAAAAATTAAGGTCAAATTTAATTATATAATCTTTTTAAGAGGATATAGAATATTTTAAGTTCGGCTCGAATTCAGCCCGACTTAAATAAGCCTAACATGAAATTTTCAACTCTATATACATACATATTTAATAATTTTGGCTAAGTTCGATTGGTCAGCCCAAACTTAGCCAAAAAAAAAGGTAACATTAGGCTTGATTATGTAGGCTTTTTAAAAAAGGTAGAATATTTTAAGCTCAACCTGAATAAGCTAACCCATCTGAATTACGACTCTAATAAACTATGGTCTGATCATTAAATCATAAAACAGTACTTAGACTAATGCAATGATCGATCAAATTTAATTCCCTTAACAGAGTGTTGATTTAAGGCATATACGACTAGCCTACGCTATGGACAACCCCAGCCATGCATCACGATCAACTGTATAATGTCAATCACCAGCTTTTGCTAGTAGCTACCATTAGCGGACATTGATCACCATCATAGTCCATAGACCACCACCATTAACCATTGCTAACTTTAAAATTATTTTCAAATTAACATAATTTAACATATTTTTCTTTGTTTTTTTATTTTGAAAAATAACTTTTAAAAAGTGGTCAAAAATAATTTTAAAAATAAAAATGCCCAATCAATGTAAGTTATTTCCCAACGCATAATAGTTACTGAGTGCAAATATATCAGTTATCAAAAATAAAAAATGTCAAACAAGTCTCTAGAGATCCTAAATCATAATGATCAGATTTCGTGGTATTAATTGTTATTTACATAATATTTGGTGCTATTTTCTTGTCATTCTCCCGTAAATATATTTTCTGGTAAGAGAATTCAAATTTACACTCAACTTATTAAAATAAAGAATTTACACTCTCGTCCACTTCCGTTGTTAATTAAAAAAACAAAACGTTAAAAAAATAGGAAAAAAGCGACAAGCCGAGAAGAAAATAAAACACAAGAAGGCCCACCTGTTTTCTATTATCTCATTATCGTCCTCTTGTTTTCTCTAGACTTTCCTTACAGACTTTGCATACTTTAAAACTCTCCGAAAAGCAATATACTCAGGAAAGCTTCTCCTTCCTTTCCAAGAAAAAGCAGACCAAAACCACTCTTAGCAATTCAAGAATAAAATCAAATAAAATTCATTCCTCACACAGATTCCTCCATGGAAGAAGAGTATCTCTCTCTCTCTCTCTCTCTCTCTCTCTCTCTCTCCCTCCCTCCCTCCCTCCCTCCCTCCCTGTCGTGTAATCTCTGCATTTTTTCAGTGTCATCTTCAAGTTCATATATTACTTGTCTGATTTGTTGGTGTGTCCTTTTGGTATCTCAGATCGGAGCAATATCCAAAGGAGTATGATTATAATCGACAAGACAACGCGAGGACGGTCCCACCTTCGTCTTCTTCTTCGTCGACGGCGAACATTCAGGTTACGGCTCTCGACGGCATCGTCAACGTCAACTCGCTCTTCACCATCGCCGTCTTCGTCGGCCTCTCTCTCACCACTCCAGGTGATGATCAGACAGCCAAATTCCTCAGCTCAACGACCTTTGATTGATTAACATAATTATTAACAGAAGCTTATTCATACATATCTATAGGTCAGCGAAGCCTGGAGAACCGATCGTCGTGCGACGCCGGAACCGACGTGGCGAAGAAGCTTCTGGTGTTCGAGGTGGTATCGTTCAGCTTCTTCCTGTTCTCATCGCTGGTGGCTCAGGGGCTGAAGCTTGCGATCAACCTGTTGAATAGCAAGGACGTGGACGAGGCGTTCAGATCGCATCTGAATGTGAAGGTTTTGAGGCTCGGAATGTTGGGCTCCGCCGTGGGCTCCGTCATGGGGTGCTTGTTCTTGATGCTGTCGATGATCAATGTGATTCAGATCAGATTGGGATTGCTGTCTTGTGGAAGCAAATCGGCGATTCATTCGGTTATTGCTCTCGTCGTGCTTGTTTCTTCTGCTCTTTTGACGTATATTTCAACTGCTGTATATGCTTTCACTCATTAATTCATGAACTCAGTTGCAACATAGAAATAATAAAAATAAAAAAAAAACAAGTGATTGTTGTCTTAATTTTAATTTCCGTTCATTTGATCTAATCTTAGAAGCGGCGTTGGTAGCATATAAAATATTTTCTAACTAATTTCTGGGCAATTTTTCTTAAAAAAAAACAAATACTTAATATATTATCAATCAATCTGAATTGTCCCAAATATTTTTCGGCATCTGGTGTCAAATATCTGAATTGGAGTTGTTCATCCCAAATAGATAATTGAAAAAAAAAAAAAAATTCTCTTTCAGCGTATCTTTTTCCATGATAAAATTTGAAATCAAAATGGTCTTCCTTGAATATCTAGTCTTAAAAAAAAAGGGGGTGCTAAATGCTGCGTGTTTGACGCATATCCTCACGTTTAATTATTTCACCTAAATTAAGAAGAGGTAGTTTATTTATTAATTTTATTTTTATTTAAATAACAAAATTTTAAAATTTACATCACATTATTTTTTATAATTAATGAGTCTAAATAAAAGTAATATTAAAAAAATATAATTGATATCTTATTTTTATATTATTGATTATAAAATCATTCCCGTTCTATAATAAAGAAAGGAGAGAGTATTCTTTAATAAAAAAATTAAAATAAAAAAATGCAAATAATTTTATAGGTTGATAATTAGGAGTAGTAATTTTGTGTGTTTTTTTTTAAGGAATATGCTAAAAGAAGCTTGATTGATTTCACTTGTTTGGTACACATGCTATGTGAAGCCACTTTCGAATATTATTTAATTAAACACCGAGTCTCGTATGTTTTTGTGTGTGGTAGCGTCCAAGTTAGGTTTATTTATTATTATTATTTTTTTGGCCTGAGTCCAAGGTATGTTTAATTTATCTTATCAAATAGATTTTTTTTATTTCTTTTTCTTGCTTTCTTGTTCGTCTTGTTTTAATTTTTCTTGCTTTCTTTTTCAATTCATGTGCTTTAATTGCCGTGTGTTAGGAGGTGATTTAGGTGAATTATTATTTAGGCTATGGGCAATTGCGAGGAACATGTGGTGTTAGATTAGGCCATATTTTATTGGTGTTAATTTGTCCAAATTTGATGTCATTTGCTTAATTAATTTATTCGTATTAAGTCATTACTGTGGTGGCAAACCGGCATTCGATGAAATACCTATCTGAATTTGCAAAGTCTCCTTTTCTTAGGCAAGCTTCTAGAGGAATTATGACTTTAGTCTATATAGTACAGCCAACACGCCAACCCTATGTATTTTGTTTGTACGACATTTTATCTCATACAAGAGGTGTGTGTGTGTGTGTATACACATGTTTTTACATACAAAGTTTAGGTGTGCAAGGCCTTAGAATCTCACCAGGACCAGAGTATATCACTATATTCAATGAGTATTTACAGATATATTTATTTATCACCCATTAACAAGATTCTTATATTGATAATAAGATTTGATTTTTCAATCTTATAAGTTATAGATCAAATTTATATCAATTGAAAGTATATAAGAGGAATTGAATTCAAAGAGCTATGAGCCATATTTGACACAGATTCATTGGGCCCAATAAACATTACATTTGGATCCAGAACTAAACACGAGCCTGGTTGGCCCAAGTTGACTCCTACCCATAGACATGCAGTCAGCAACAACTTACCCGTAGGGGTTCACCCAAAAAAAAAAAAAAAAAAAAAGAAGAAAAGAACAAACGCGTAGGGCCCAGACATCACATGTACGAGAGAGACGCAAAAAAGCTGACCCGAGTTGGCTCTTACTAAAAGGGTTACGATCACTTGTAAATGTAAAAAATATTTTTGAGAAAGCTAACCCAAATTTTACACCATAATACTTGTATGTTACATAATCAGATAGTCATATAAAAAAATTATAAGTAAAATACTTAGACCACCTTTTTTTTTTCTCCTCCAATTAGAAAAACTTTTTTTATATACTACTAGAAAAATGTAAATTAACAAAAAAATTTAGCAAGGGATCGTTCATTTTTCTCTAAAATATCAAATTAATGAGAAAATTAGTGAGAGATGTTGATTTTATAGCTTGATTTAAAATTAGTGAAAAAAATAATGAAAGATTGTCAATTCCTCTTTAAAATAAAAGATTTAGTGATGAAAATAACAAGGGATTACCAATTCCTATATAAAAGAAGACAATTAGCGAAGAAAATAATGAAGGACTATCAATCCCTCTTCAAAATAAAACAATTAGCAAGAAAAATAGTGAGAGACTGATAATCTCTCTCTAAAATAAGATAATTAGTAAGGAATTTTATTTCTAGCTAATTACTGCAAAAAAAATTTAACTTTTGACAATGGCTTTTAATTTTATATTGAATTATTTTTATTTAAAAATTAACTAAAATATTCATAATAAAATTATTTAATATTTTATTTATTTTAAGTTAATTTTCATTAATAAAATAATATTTTATTAAAAATATAATATAAAGAATAATTTAAATAAAATATAAATATTTTTAACATATTAATAACTGAAAATAAAATTTAATATGTATATATGTGTGTATTTTTATAATATATTATTTTATATATTTATGTAGTTAAATAATATATATTTAATTTCTAATATAATGGCTATAAGTGCCTTTCAATTTAACTGACAAAGAAAAAGAGTATAAGGTTTAAAAAGTATAAGGTTAAGGATTTAAATATTGGTTTTGGCATAAATATAATGAATACATGATATGGTAAGAAGTAAGCGGCATGACACAAGGTGGATAATGACATGTCATGAGTTATCGTGCATGTAGCGAGTGATAGGGCATGAGATGATAAGTGACATGGTGATTAACAAGGTATAAGATTGTTGGTGACATGTCAAAAGTTGATGCACACATAACAAGTAATGTGGTATCATTATTTTTAAATATAAACATATTTAGCGAGGGATTAATGATGGACTAATTTCTTGCTAAAGTTATCAAATTTTGAATAGTATTAGCAAGGGATTAGCAAAAAATTCAATCCCTAACTAATTTTAGCGAGGGATTAAATCCTTCACTAAATCCCTTTTTAATTAGCGAGGGAAATATGATTCTTCACCCCTTTTTTAGTTACGAAATTAGCAAGAGACAAAATTTCTTATTAAAATATAATTTAACTAGAGAAAATGACATTTAGCGAGAGATTTTTTTCTCTTTTTTAAATTCTATTTTTTTAGTAGTGATATTTTAAAAACACATAATTTAATCTAGCTTGTCAATACATTAGGAATATTTTTCAAAATATTTAAAACAATTATTAATTTGAATTTAAATTAAATAATGTCTCCTTTACCAATCAATTCCTCACCATAATAAAACCCTAATTCATCTAACCTTAATGGCTTTGGCTTATGTAGGTTTGTGCTACATAACATTTTGTTTTAGAGATGGTTTGCGTAGGTTTTTAAAATAAAAGAGAGTCCTTTGTAAATAAATTAAAATAATATAGAAAGAAGGTTAGTGGATTTTACTCAACAACTAAACTTGACATATTAATAAAATTAGTTAAAAATAATTGATACTCTTAATTATGTTCAAAAAAAAATATAGGAAAAATTAATTTATAAGTCCATTAAGTTTTCTTCAATTTTAAATTAGGTCCCTATAATTTATTTTATTTTAATTAAGCCTTTATAGTTTGATTGATTAAATACATATGTTAGAAGAAAAAAAATTAATTATACATTTTGAAAATTAATTTATAGAATGATGCTTGTAGGGCCTAGATCGCTACCATTTGTACAACACCAACTTGGTAATTCTTAACCATTCTTCAACTAATTAATTTTTATTTGGCTAAAAAAATAATAATTAATTTTTAAATCCAACCAAAGGAAATACAATAATTTATTTATTTATCTAGATATTGTACTCCAATATTATTATCATTATGAAAATTGAAAAATGAAAGCGGGATGATTTGTGTATTGGAGACTTATTATAGGGTTAAAAGTTATTTTTGTATCTCAACTTTGTGTAAAAAGTCATTAGCAGGGGCATATCCTCATTGGAGAAAGAGGGGGCAATTGTCCTTGTGAAATTTGCTAAAATTATACTTATTTTTTTGTTTAAATTACACTTATCCCCTCTTTAAAATTGCAATTGCCTTCCATAAAAAATTAATTGCCCCACATTTTCTTTAAAACTATCAAGCATACATATTTAAAAATATTGTTTACCTTTTTATTTATAATAAAAAAAATTATGATGTAAATGAAATTAAGATATATTTTTAAACTTTTCATATAATTTATCTATATATGACTTTAATTATTACTTAAAATTATATTTTTTTAAAATATTAATATTTATATTTGGTATAAAATATTTCCCCCATTACTAAATTTTTCTAAATCCAGCACTGGACTCACTAAGGATTTTAAATTTAACTATGGATTAATTCTATTCATTAACATTAAAGATTCTTTTCTTTATCACTCTGATATTAAAACCACTTAATATCCATCAGTCATCAGTGGGTCTAACTATTGTTTTAATATTTTTTGGGTTAAAAGTAATTTTCATCCTTTAACTTTTAGTCAAAAGGTTAATGGACACCTTAACTCAAATATTTTATATTAAAACAATATAAAAAAAAAATATAATGTGAGACCTACTAATAGTCAACTAATGGTGAGAAAACAACTAGGTGATAAGGGAGGGAATCGTTAAAATTAAATGATAAAGTTAATTTATAGTTGAGTTTGGATTTCTAATGATCTTTTAAGGAAAGTTGAGGAGTAAAAATAACCCTTAATTATTTATTATAAATGGTGATATGATTGAATAATCTCTCTCCATATTTGTTGTGATTTAATTATGAAACAGAGTGGACTTAAGTCCAAATCAATCTTACGTTGAGAGAATCCGTTGAGAGAATCAAAATCTCTGACAAGCAGATCAAATCCAGACCAAAAGAGGAGTTGGAAAAAAAAAATAAAGAGAATATTAGTTAATTGAGAGGCAGAGGGAGAATACTAAGGATGTGTTTGGATTTTAATTAAAAAAATTAATTATAAAAAAATTAATTATTAAAATGTGA